GCAATCCTTAAGCAGGCCTTGGTGAGATGTAGACCATTACTGGTTACCGTGACAACGTATGATGCTAGTTACTGGGGCGACAGTATCCAGGACTGAGAGTCGCCTTTATGAGTCGCGTGTTACCATTTGATAGAGTTGCGGGCGAGAAGATCAGACGACAGCAGGGGGTTTGAGGCTGGAGGTGGCGAGGGTGAAGGCTTGGGCTGGGGTAGGTGGGCCGGTGTGACCTAACTGATGTGGTGGCAAGGATTTGAGGGTGTGGCATGGAGAATTGTTGGAAGGATGGTGGTGAAAACGATATGGATAAACGTTTAAGGTATACAATAACCACGGGTTATATATAAATTTTGTCATAAGTTGGTTTGAAAATAAAATTACATTTTCGTTCATGGATCGAATATAAGCTGTTTCGAGTTTAGCTGCTTCCGAAAAAAACTAACCTGGCAGATCGATGAATTTCATTATCAGTTAAAGGAGAATATTCGACACGTCTGCTTCAGATCTCCATCTCTCATCCATAGTGACCATCCTTTGTACCCATCCATCCACTTAATTCATGTCACATCGGGTCCATCCTCTCTATTCATGTCGCCTCCTGCTGTTCTCAGAGGCTCTTGAGGTCCGCCCACTCTCCTGCTCAGCCTGGTGGTCACGTGGTACACTGCCGACAGACGATGTTTCATGGATCTGGGAGAAAACAAGTGGAATCCTGCTGCGTCGTCTGGGAGCGTCTGCACGTGGACCTGCCGGTGGGGTGGGACAGATGTTGCCCAAGGATGGAAGATGGGTTGGAGAGTTACCTCCCTTCTCCTTGGAAGACATAACGACCTTGTTGTTGTCTGTGATTGGCGGCAGAGCTGTCGTCTGCTCATCTCTAGTTTTGCCTGTGTACGGCCGTCTTCGCCTGTGGCCTTCAACTGGAGAAGGTGGCACCCTTGGGACGAATTCTGCCTTCGTCTCCTCGTTTTCATGTATGTGTCCATCAGCATCTAAGTTGAGGGCCTTGAATTTGTTGTTTTCCTTCTCGAGGCGAGTAATTGTGTCCTGCATTCGCCTCATCTGTCTCTGGTAGGTGTGCAGTGTCTGGACACGAGCCTTGAGGTCGTTGATCTCAGCCTGGTCCATGGTCCAGCTGAGTTTGTAATTGTTGAACTCGACCCGGTAGTGTTTCAGATCCTTCTCCATCTTAGTGTTCTTCTCTCTCTCCAGACGGAGTTCCTTCCTCGTGGCCTCCAGTTGCTGTCTGTAGTCCTCGTTGAGGCTCATGAGATGTTCCACAAAGCTGCATCAGGGAGAAGGATCATTACGATAAAGTCGGAAGAATACAGACATTTTCTGATGTAAAACTCAAATCAATCAAATATGTTCCTGTTTTTCAAAGATAAGTGCGTTTGGTTTGCCTGAATCTAACGTTAAGCCGAGTGTGAAATGTGCACAGTGTGCGAAACCCATGTTTGTGGCTCAAATATTTCTACAATGATGCTCAGTGCAGTGAAAAAACCCATCCATTTTATCTTCTATCACGGCGACAGTGGGCAATGACCTGAGCCCATGTTTCCAATTGACACGTTACATACGGGTTCAAATTGACATACCTTTCTTCAACGTTGATTCTTTGGCATTTAGGACTTTCCAGTGTACTGCTGACATCAGGCTGTGCCATACTTGTCTCTGTGTCAGTTATTGCTGTACTACCTGTGTCATGGTCAGCATCTGAAGGGAATAAAATGGTACATTTGTTGAGAAATAAGAAGAGAAAATGATTAAAATTTAGTTTTGCTATTTTCTCATTTTTTGTTAGTGTTGGATAGTGTTGAAAAAAACCCATGAGCTTATACATTCTGCTCTTTTCAAAAGTACAGAACGATAATTTATCAATTCATGCAATCAACAATATTATTTACAACAAACGTGATTTTTATGTACATGTTGTTCAAATTTTCAGTCAATACTAAGTACAAAATATAATACGTGTATGTGTCTGACCACGTCTATGGACTCACTCACCGCTGACTGGGGTGGGGGACGTGGATGGCGACTCCGGGATGGGGGACAGGACCTGTGTCCCTGCTCTCGTAGCTATCTTGTGTAGTAACCGACCCATCTGGGGAACAGGTATTGAAAGGATGTAAATACACGCCTGTGCACGTATACGTACATGATTTAATGGCCTTCATTTTTCAGCATTTTGTAGACAGACATTTAGTTTTATACAGAACAAGAGACAGACAGTTTTTAAAGCATGATCGTGCATGCGCATATTATGTCATATTTAGAATTGGGTGTTTTCTTGTTATAAATTTATTTACATGAAATAGGAATAGACTGACATTTCTGATAGCAAGATGGAAATAAAAGTTTTAATTGTGGGATCTTTACTAAAATATTTTACAATGCACTTGTTTCTCAATTCAGAGTAGGAGTGACATACATAGAAAATGTGCATTTCATCAACAGCAGATTAGCCTTTTAGCTTACATGACGTACAATATCTTTCATTATTATTTAAATCTTATATCTGCCAGTCTCAACAGCAGCTTGAAACTCAACATTTAAATCTAGAATAGGATGTTCGTAAATGTTGAGGATGGTCACCTATGGTTTAGTACTTTTCAATATTTAAAGTCGCTATATGGCTGAAATAATGCCGATGAGACGTTAAAATTAATTTTAACTCACTCATTCAATATTCAAAAGTGATTTAAACTAGTTTAAGTAAAAACACTAATGATTTGCTGGGTACCGTTTCACAAAGCAGTCGTAAGTGTTACGTGCGTGTAAAACTGGCGTAACTCGGAAATACTGAACTAGGGGCGTTTCACAAAGCTAGTGTAATATTACGTCTGTGTAAAATTGGCGTAAACTCTACGTGTGGTCTTGGGGTGGTGTAAATATTTACGCAAGCGATAAAGATGGCGTTCAATCCAAACACGGAACAGATTTCCAAAAAAGTATGTAAGCGAGAACGTGTTTTCCGCGACAGGTCGAACCCCTCGACGATTTGGATGATCATGACATCATCGAGAGGTACCGCCTATCACGACACATGATATTTTCTATCATTGGTAAAGTGAGTGACAGACTTGAACATCAAACCCAGCGTTCCCATGCAATACCACCTTACCTTAATGTTTTAATTGCTCTGAGATACTTTTCCAAGGGTGGGTTTTACAGTGAGATTGCCGATATCCACGGTGTGAGTAAATCCTCCGTCTGCAGAGCAATCCACGCAACAACAGACGCATTATGTGCAACCATGGGTGATTTTGTATTTCCCACAATGCCTTCCACTCAGAAGAGTACCAAAGAATCATTCTTCGACATAGCTGGATTCCCTAAAGTACTCGGTGCAATTGACTGCACACTCGTACCCATAATGGCGCCGAAACGTGACGAAGTAGCCTACGTTTGTCGGAAGGGTTACCACGCACTGAACATACAGGCAGTATGTGATGCCAACATGAGGTGAGATACATACACACATGGTAGATATGTCTTTTAGCATGAATCAATTATTCCTATTCCTCTTGAACAAGGCACGACAAAATGTAAACATTACAACATGAAATAGATGTCCTTGACATTGACGCATGCTGCGCCCCCTAGGTAACGTTTTGGGCGAGATAAGTCATGATGCATACCAGTAAAAATGAATCCATTGTGATAATGTTTTCAAATTTCCATTGTTTCAATGGAGTATAACTGTTCCATAATTAAAATGTGAATTAATAGTGTTTATTTGTAGGCAGATGTAGATCTCTCTATATATACATTAAGTAACTAAATACGTATATGAGCTTTAAAAAATTATGCATGTGCATTTTAAATACTGGATTTGTTATATTTTTCTCTCAGATTTACAAACTGTGTCTTCAAGTGGCCTGGCTCTGTCCATGACAGTTATATATGGAATAACTCTGCCCTTGGTCAGTACTTTGAAAAGAAGAATATTGATGGATGGCTACTTGGAGACTCTGGGTAAATAAAAATACAACATATATACCTGAACTTCACTTACATTTGCTAAATACAGTTGAATTTTACAATGTGTGATAAACAAATCTGACAAAACTGCACTCAGTAAAATATTGATAATATTTTGATGACCTGTCTGGATATAGTGTTATCCTTATTACTTATGTTACAGATATGCCTGCAGACCATGGCTGCTGACCCCTGTGCTCAATCCCAGCTCAGAAGGACAGGAGAAATACAATAGATGCCATATCAAGACACGGAACACAATAGAGAGAGCATTTGGCTTGTGCAAGTCAAGATTTAGGTATGGTTTTAAGTGGTAACAGTAAGTTGGTAATGTAACCAAGAAATTATTGTAAGTGAAATAGTTAAATATTGAAGGTACAGTTACAAGAGGAAAACATGTAATAGTATCTATAACATGGTATCATTGTTGAAAACTTGAAAAAAAATGGAGTTACTTCTTATCTCAAACTGAGCTTTTTTAAGTTTTTGTAGTATTTTAAAAGAATTGTTAAAAAACATTATCAACTTAATTTTGAACAAAGTGATAGCCTGTCTAACAGGGGTCTGTGAAGAAGTCGGGAAAAAAACTTATAATACAGAAAATGTGTTTCATCACATTTCCAGATGCCTTCACAAGACAACTGGTGTATTACAATTCACCCCAGAAAGGAGTTTGTGTGTTGTCCGGGCTTGCTTCTTGTTGCATAACATGTGCATCCATGAAAGAATACCACTTCCCCAGGGCATTGAGCTACTCAGAGGAGAGGGAACTGCCACCGAGTTGCCATGTGCTGCTGACTTCCCAACAACAAGCTCTGGTTGTGATGGACTGTCAGCAAGACATCAATTAATTTTGCATAAGTTCACTTAAATTACAGCCTTATGCTATTGTTTTCATCATTTATAATAAGCACAGGAATATAAATCATGAGATGTAAGTGACTTTCTACTCTGTATTACTAGACAGTCACAACTTAAGATAATTTCATATTATACAAAAATATAAAATTCACAGCTTTTGTCATAATCAAAAGAATTTTATTATGGGGGATACATTTTGGCCATTAAGGGGAGAAACATGTACAAATTCCCTGAGCAGCTTTAGCTTCTCCTCCTCAATCTCTACTCTTCTATTCTCAGCCAAGAGAATCTGGCTCTGTACAGCTATTAATTGCTTTATTGCGTCAGCAACTGGATCTGGTCCTGTAATAAAACATTGTCTAAATCAATATTGCAGTCTTGTGTATTTTAGGGTTTTTTGTAAAACTCATCACAGCTTGATATTCAGCCACAATTATGCAGCAAATGTAAAATTACAATATTTTATATAAATAAAACAAATCCTCCATGCATGTTAACAAACACATAACTTGACTTAACCCTGATAACAGGACCGATGAAGAGGAAGATATTTTAATGTCTGTTTTTACATTAATATTGCATTCAATTTCACAGCCAAGGGCACTTAATTTGGAATCCTGGATAAATTCCTACATTCATTATAAAGAAAATCATTAATCAATTTCAATGTGACTAACAGTGCCAAGTGCCTAACACCTTTGAATATACAAGCCCCAACTTGAACCAGAGCATCATTATCAGAAATGTATTGTGCTACATGGATAAGTATTACCTGATCTTTCTATACTGAACACAATGTTACCAGATTCGAGCTTCTGACACTTCGCTGATTGCACTTATAATTTAATAAAAGGTAATTTTAACTTTGTTCTGTTCACATATTGATAAACTGATAAAAATGTGTGACTAAATGTTGCATAAATCTTTACCTGGTTCACCTTGTGCCTTTCTAGCTGTGATGTCTGAAAATAAAATGTTTGAGCACATTTATAATATATTTTGTGCAGTACATTGTTCAAAACTGACAAATGTCTCTGATATTGGAGTACAATGACTGTGTTGATGCCAAGTTATTTATAACTTTATATGTATTATATTATAATATGATGTGATTTATTGGTAGAAGATCAATACCTTCCATCATAATTGAAGTTCCTGTCCCTGCTGGGGTGATACACATTGCTTCTGTTGTGTTGCAAGTGACTGTGTCTGTGAAAGAAAGACAAATAAAGCAGTTCATCATCAGAAGTAACTCAATTTGTGTGGATAACATTTGTATCTCCCACCAAAATAAATAAAGCAATTTGAAGCTGTCACATGTACACAAGTTTTATGACATGTCCATGTCAGTATTTAGCATATCATCAAACAAATGGGTTTGTTTAAAATTTGTTTGATCTATATATATCTTTCAGAAAATCAATGTTACTATGAATATCTGAGTTGAGTATCTGTTTTGATAGGACCAAATAACTAAAACATCAACTAGTCTAATAATGATTTTTTTAATGTTTGCAATAGTTATTATAATGCTTTATCTCAACTTATTTCATACATAAGGTCACAAACATTCGAAAAACTTATATTTGTGTATTATTTTTAATTAATGCCTACCATTAAAGTCACAGGTTAATGAAGATGTAGCCATTGCTGCTGTGCTCATATCAGGATCAGCCTCCAAAGCATAGTCCAGAAACGACCCATCAACTTGAAATATAAATGGTTCAACACATGAATGATGACTTATGTAAATTTGCTTATCTGGGAGCATATCAATGAGTTGACTATGCCATGAAGATAATGAAAAAAAACATTTATATGGTTTGTGAACCACAGTCACTATTCTTAAATCAGTACTGTCAAGAGAAATGGCATGGACATATTTACCTCCCGAATCAAATCCTCCAGCAATTCCTTCAATCTGGCAAGGAGGAATCAAACTCACAATCTATAATTAAAGAAATGAAGAACACAGTTAAATTACTTCATGAAATATGAGACAAGTAAATAACTAAATGGTATCAGTATTTTGCATAAATATTTCCCCTATGCCAGTAGAAATAAAGTCAATTTAAGCTTTTTATAAGTCTGTTATATTATTATATATATAACACAAATAACTAAGACAGGTAACATTTGTTTTTCTAGGTATCATATCACAATTTCTGGCCCAATCCATATGTTCATGCATAATCCATAGGTCATGCATTTGGGCAATTAGACTATTACATATGATCTGACATATTCTTCCTGTTGTGTTTCATACCTTCTGTTCAACAGTAGTGAGTTGTGTAGGAGGGCCACCTCCACCAGTTCTCACACTCTCCTTCCTCCTTGTCACCTCCTTCTTCTTGGCTGCAGCCCTGAGGTCCTGCCATTTCTTTTTCAGCTGAGGCACAGTCCTTACCTCCGTGTTATTGGCGTTGATCCTGTAAACAAAAATTATTTCAAAATTATAACATGTTTTGCTCGATGTCACCCATGTTTGACAATTGCCTTGTTGTTGTCTACCATTAAATATGAAGATGTTTAAAAATAAGTGATTCTGGCGTTTTTTGTTCCTAATCACTGAGCCGGACATTTAGGAAATTTACGTTTAGTCTATATGCAATTTGTTTTATAATGTGAAAATAGTGATACTTCCGCGACCTCTTATATGTGTGCATACATGTATATGCATATTTCAGATCCGTATCCCGAGCAATAACAATAATTCCCACCTTTTCAAATTTTGCACTATCAAAGAAATATAGGCCTCTCGCAAGTTCAAGTAGATCTACAGTCACCTTTTATCGCTATTTGTTTACTTCCGCATAACAACAAGCGCGATAACTCTAAATGGCATAGGTCTATCACTTCCAAATAAAACACATCCTTCATATGACAGATGTGAGTTCAATGCCGTGAAATGCACTCACTTTGTCAGAATATCCTCCCATATCTTCTTCTTCCGATTGTTTGTGATGCAAGAAGAAAAAGATGAAAACAACACATCTGAATTGCTGCCAACTTCTTCTGTAAGAATTTCTACTTCTGTGGCCGAAAAGTTTCTCTTCCTCGATTTCTTGTCGCTAATTTCATCCATTTTAATGCGCTTCGTCGTCTGCTCAGAGCACCTGCCACGGTAGACAACTCTAGTGCGGATTTTCCTACCTCACAAAGGGAAAGAGCTCCAATCGTATTTTTTACGTGCGTGTAAGTTGGCCGAGGTTACGCCAGTTTTAGCGTAGCTTTGTGAAACAGTCTTAGACTATGGCGTAAACATTGCGCAAATATGGCGTAAAATCTACGAGCGTGTAAATTTACGACTGCTTTGTGAAACGGTACCATGTGTACTTCTAGATATCAGCTGTAATGCGGCTGCTACACTTGCAGAGCTCGGACGAACGTAACTAATAACCACGCCTCCGAGGTGTGATTGTGATGACGTCATGTCATGTGACAAGTCGCTGAGGAAGTAGAATACACCGCGCGTCGAAATCGTATTTCCCGCGCGTATAACTCCATCATGGTACCGTTTCACAAAGCAGTCGTAAGTCTTACGTGCGTGTAAAACTGGCGTAACTCGGAAATACTGAACTAGGGGCGTTTCACAAAGCTAGTGTAATATTACGTCCGTGTAAAATTGGCGTAAACTCTACGTGTGTTCTTGGGGTGGTGTAAATATTTACGCAAGCGATAAAGATGGCGATCAATCCAAACACGGACGAGATTGCCAAAAAATCACGACACATGATATTTTCTATCATTGGTAAAGTGAGTGACAGACTTGAACATCAAACCCAGCGTTCCCATGCAATACCACCTTACCTTAATGTTTTAATTGCTTCAAGGGTGGGTTTTACAGTGAGATTGCCGATATCCACGGTGTGAGTAAATCCTCCGTCTGCAGAGCAATCCACGCAACAACAGACGCAATATGTGCAACCATGGGTGATTTTGTATTTCCCACAATGCCTTCCACCCAGAAGAGTACCAAAGAATCATTCTTCGACATAGCTGGATTCCCTAAAGTACTCGGTGCAATTGACTGCACACTCGTACCAATAATGGCGCCGAAACGTGACGAAGTAGCCTACGTTTGTCGGAAGGGTTACCATGCACTGAACATACAGGCAGTATGTGATGCCAACATGAGGTGAGATACATACACACATGGTAGATATGTCTTTTATCATGTATCAATTATTCCTATTCCTCTTGAACAAGGCACGACAAAATGTAAACATTACAACATGAAATAGATGTCCTTGACATTGACGCATGCTGCGCCCCCTAGGTAACGTTTTGGGCGAGATAAGTCATGATGCATACCAGTAAAAATGAATCCATTGTGATAATGTTTTCAAATTTCCATTGTTTCCATGTAGTATAACTGTTCCATAATTAAAATGTGAATTAATAGTGTTTATTTGTAGGCAGATGTAGATCTCTATATATTTACATTAAATAACTAAATACGTAAATGAGCTTTATAAAATTATGCATGTGCATTTTAAATACTGGATTTCTGTTGGATTTATATGGATATAAATTGTTATATTTTTCTCTCAGATTTACAAACTGTGTCTTCAAGTGGCCTGGCTCTGTCCATGACAGTTATATATGGAATAACTCTGCCCATGGTCAGTACTTTGAAAAGAAGAATATTGATGGATGGCTACTTGGAGACTCTGGGTAAATAAAACTACAACATAAATACCTGAACTTCACTTACATTTGCTAAAAACAGTTGAATTTTACAATGTGTGATATACAAATCTGACAAAACTGCACTTAGTAAAATATTGATAATATTTTGATGACCTGTCTGGATATAGTGTTATCCTTATTACTTATGTTACAGATATGCCTGCAGACCATGGCTGCTGACCCCTGTGCTCAATCCCAGCTCAGAAGGACAGGAGAAATACAATAGATGCCATATCAAGACACGGAACACAATAGAGAGAGCATTTGGCTTGTGCAAGTCAAGATTTAGGTACGGTTTAAAGTGGCAACAGTAAGTTCGTAATGTAACCAAGAAATTATTGTAAGTGAAATAGTTAAATATTGAAAGTACAGTTACATGAGGAAAACATGTAATAGTATCTATTCATGGTATCATTCTTGAAAACTTGAAAAAAAATAAAATGGAGTTACTTCTTATCTCAAATTGAGCTTTTTTAAGTTGTTGTAGTATTTCAAAAGAATTGTTAAAAAACATTATCAACTTAATTTTGAACAAACTCATAGCCTGTCTAACAGGCGTCTGTGAAGAAGTTGGGAAAATAACTTATAATACAGAAAATGTGTTTCATCACATTGCCTTCACAAGACAACTGGTGTATTACAATTCACCCCAGAAAGGAGTTTGTGTGTTTTCCGGGCTTGTTTCTTGTTGCATAACATGTGTATCATTGAAAGACTGCCACTTCCCAAGGGCATTGAGCTACTCAGAGGAGAGGGAACTGCTACATAGTTGCGATGTGCAGATGATTTCGCAACAACAAGCTCTGGTTGTGATGGACTGTCAGCAAGACATCAATTAATTTTGCATAAATTCACTTAAATTACAGCCTTATGCTATTGTTTTCATCATTTATAATAAGCACAGGAATATAAATCATGAGATGTAAGTGACTTTCTACTCTGTATTACTAGACAGTCATGACTTAATATAATTTCATATTATACAAAAAAATTAATTACCCAGCTTTTGTCATGATCAAAAGAATTTTATTATGGGGGATACATTTTGTCCATTAAGTGGAGAAACATGTACAAATTCCCTGAGCAGCTTTAGCTTCTCCTCCTCAATCTCTACTCTTCTGTTCTCTGCCAAGAGAATCTGGCTCTGTACAGCTATTAATTGCTGTATAGCTTCAGCAACTGGATCTGGTCCTGTAATAAAACATTGTCTAAATCAATATCGCAGTCTTGTGTATTTTAGGGGTTTATGTAAAACTCATCACAGCTTGATATTCAGCCGCAATTATGCAGCAAATGTAAAATTACAATATTTTATATAAATAAAACAAATCCTCCATGCGTGTTAACAAACACATGACTTAACCCTGATAACAGGACCGATGAAGAGGAAGATATTTTAATGTCTGTTTTTACATTAATATTGCATTCAATTTGACAGCCAAGGGCACTTAATTTGGAATCCTGGATAAATTCCTACATTCATTTTAAAGAAAATCATTAATCAATTTCAATGTGACTAACAGTGCCAAGTGCCTAACACCTTTGAATATACAAGCCCCAACTTGACCCAGAGCATCATTATCAGAAATGTATTGTGTTATATGGATAAGTATTACCTGATCTTTCTATACTGAACACAATGTTACCAGATTCGAGCTTCTGAAACTTCACTGATTGTACTTATAATTTAATAAAAGGTAATTTTAACTTTGTTCTGTTCACATATTGATAAACTGATAAAAATGTGTGACTAAATGTTGCATAAATCTTTACCTGGTTCACCTTGTGCCTTTCTAGCTGTGATGTCTGAAAATAAAATGTTTGAGCACATTTATAATATATTTTGTGCAGTACATTGTTCAAAACTGACAAATGTCTCTGATATTGGAGTACAATGACTGTGTTGATGCCAATTTATTTATAACTATATATGTATTATATTATAATATGATGTGATTTATTGGTAGAAGATCAATACCTTCCATCATAATTGAAGTTCCTGTCCCTGCTGGGGTGATACACATTGCTTCTGTTGTGTTGCAAGTGACTGTGTCTGTGAAAGAAAGACAAATAAAGAAGTTCATCATCAGAAGTAACTCAATTTGTGTGGATAACATTTGTATCTCCCACCAAAATAAATAAAGCAATTTGAAGCTGTCACATGTACACAAGTTTTATGACATGTCCATGTCAGTATTTAGCATATCATCAAACAAATGGGTTTGTTTTAAATTTGTTTGATCTATATATATCTTTCAGAAAATCAATGTTACTATGAATATCTGAGTTGAGTATCTGTTTTGATAGGACCAAATAACTAAAACATCAACTAGTCTAATAATGATTTTTTTTTATGTTTGCAATAGTCATTATAATGCTTTATCTCAACTTATTTCATACATAAGGTCACAAACATTCCAAAAATTTATATTTGTGTATTATTTTTAATTAATGCCTACCATTAAAGTCACCGGTTAATGAAGATGTAGCCATTGCTGCTGTGCTCATATCAGGATCAGCCTCCAAAGCATAGCTCAGAAAAGACCCATCAACTTGAAATATAAATGGTTCAACACATGAATGATGACTTATGTAAATTTGCTTATCTGGGAGCATATCAATTAGTTGACTATGCCATGAAGATAATGAAAAAACATTTATATGGTTTGTGAACCACAGTCACTATTCTTAAATCAGTACTGTCAAGAGGAATGGCGTGGAAATATTTACCTCCCGAATCAAATCCTCCAGCAATTCCTTCAATCTGGCAAGGAGGAATCAAACTCACAATCTATAATTAAAGAAATGAAGAACACAGTTACTTCATGAAATATGAGACAAGTAAATAACTAAATGGTATCAGTATTTTGCATAAATGTTTCCCCTATGCCAGTTGAAATAAAGTCAATTTAAGCTTTGTATAAGTCTGTTATAGGTTACATTTGTTTTTCTAGGTATCATATCACAATTTCTGGCCCAATCCATATGTTCATGCATAATCCATAGGTCATGCATTTGGGCAATTAGACTATTACATATGATCTGACATATTCTTCCTGTTGTGTTTCATACCTTCTGTTCAACAGTTGTGTAGGAGGGCCACCTCCACCAGTTCTCACACTCTCCTTCCTCCTTGTCACCTCCTTCTTCTTGGCTGCAGCCCTGAGGTCCTGCCATTTCTTTTTCAGCTGAGGCACAGTCCTTACCTCCGTGTTATTGGCGTTGATCCTGTAAACAAAATTATTTCAAAATTATAATATGTTTTGCTCGATGTCACCCATGTTTGACAATTGCCTTGTTGTTGTCTACCATTAAATATGAAGATGTTTAAAAATTAGTGATTCTGGCGTTTTTTTGTTTCTAATCACTGAGCCGGACATTTAGGAAATTTACGTTTTAGCAATTTGTTTTATAATGTGAAAATAGTGATACTTCCGCGACCTCTTATATGTGTGCATACATGTTTATGCACTTATGCATATTTCAGATCTGTATCCCGAGCAATATAACAATAATTCCCACCTTTTCAAATTTTGCACTATCAAAGAAATATAGGCCTCTTGCAAGTTCAAGTAGATCACAGGAGTCCGTATCTAAAAATAGACGCCCTCATGCATATTCATGACCATCTCCGCGAGCGATGAATATGCATGAGGGCGTCTATTTTTAGATACGGACTCCTGTGCTTCAACCCTAAAAACAAACATGTATATCTCCATGAGACACCGTGCAACTATTTATTCCCTATTTTATTATTTTTATATCAATAATTCGATTTATGATATCGAAAAATGCATCAGACTTTTTGGTATCTCAAAATTTGAATTCTTCCCAACACTAAGTTATTTTGTGATAACTAAAAATCGAATTATCAATATACATATATTCACAGACCTTTTCAAGAAAATGTCATTGAAAAGTCGTATGAATAGAATGAAAGATACGCTGCCCCTCAGAAACTCATCATCTTTGTCATAATTTACAACAGCATATTCTTCTAAAATAGACAAGGGTATTGTGAAACGTAAACTGTCAAGTGATGTATTCAAGATGGATAAATAATGCCGGTAACAAACAAACTAAATCAAGTGCACAAAAGGTAAAAATAAAAATCCTTTAAACGTCCCTTAAACGCCATATTATTAGCTGTAGAACAGTAGGATTGAAAACGTTAAACCCAACTCTCCACAAATTCAGGACATTTATTCAAACACATGCGGGGCCGTTTAGCCTGGTGTCAGGCTCGAGCACACTGGAACTTGAGGTCATGGAAGACTCATTGGTCTGACGAGAGTCGGTTTTAATTGCACCACACTGATGGTAGGACTCAAAGGATGTCTGGAAGCAAAGAGGAACAGTTTATCATCAGCGCAACATCCACAGTTCAGGGGACATTAAATGGACAAAGGTACTAAGATACCATATTGGGCGGTTTTTGTGTGCCCCACTTTGCCTTTAACTATGCACTGGCCACACGTCATGTCTTCATGAAAGACAATGTCCGACCCCACCGAGCACGATCTGTGACTGGCCATCTCCAGAACAACGCCATTGTGACTCTGCCTTGGCCTTCTCGAAGCCAAGACCTGAATCCAACCGAGTATCTATGGGATCAGTTGCGTCGTCCGGTTGGGGCATGGACCCTCCAGTACAAAATCTCGAAGAAATTACCCAGTCATTGCATCTGGAATCGAAACGCATCCCTAATTTGAGGACCAGACGTCTGATTTTGAGCACGAGAAGGTGTCTTGCAGGTGTGATCCGTGTACGGGGTGGCAACACTAGATATTGACTGTTGATCATTTAACTGTGGCATGGGTACAACGTTACCAAGACAAGTACGTGTTGATCTGTCCATCTCATTCCATACTTATACTGACTCTATTAATCCCTAATTACAGTCCTTGTAGTCTCTGGCGAATAAAAGTGGATGTGTCAATTTTTCCGATTATTCATAAAATCAACATCTTATTTGAACATTGCTACTTTTCATTGCTTTTGTTTCGCTATTCAGCTTCTCCTTACCCATTTTTTTCTGATTGGTGGGATTCGCTTTGCAGAGTTGCGTCCCTTGGGCACGCCAGAAACCTATGATTGTAGGTTCGAATCCCGGTTCGCCCCGATTATGTTTCTAGGTTTGTCAGCACCATACTCGTGCTCGTGGGTTTTACCGAAGTGGTAAACGTCTGAGACCTGTATCACTTCGAGCTTTCCTCCCACATTAAGCTGACACGCCGCGATATAACTGGAATACTGTTAAAAGCGGCGTTAAACCCAACTCACTCACTCACTCTGATTGGTGGTGCGATACTTTTGACGAGGTGTATATATGACGGACGATGTTTTTCTTACTATATGAGACGTACCTTTGGTATATTTTTATCTGTAAGCTTCTCTTTCAAATGTGCCTCCAACAAAGGTATCACTAAAAGATGCATTGTATATCAATACAAAGATTAAAGGCCCATTATAATTCCTTTAACGCCTTCTCGTTGCCTATATTTGTTTGTTTTGGCCCTATGGTCAATATTATCGCCAATCCGATTGTCTCGCGATCTTGTTACTGCCCGCAAAACATTTTTGATTCATTGTACATGTATTTAATGTGCATTTTCATGTGCTGTTTGGGATATTTTTTTCAGCACGGGAAGACATGATCCGGTATCATGTCACTCCTGCTGCGAGTTTATGACCGTCGCTGGATGAGGAATCCGACTGTGTATGTAGTTTATCTGGTCATACAGCTTACTTCTTCTTCTTGTCCATGTCTTCTTACGCATACAAGTGACATTAAATTTTATTTTCTGTGTTCTGGTGTGCTGAAAAAATCAGCCCGAGGATATCCCTCTCCCCTTTACACATACACATTTCTTTCTAACAGTCTATCAGCATGTTTTTCTTGTAATCCCGTCTCATGGCATGTGTTATCGGTGACTGTGCACTCTGAATTTCTCTTGCAATTTCCTCCTATAAACCTCGTCCAATGACCCTCCTTCCCTCCCCAACACAGAGAGACGCTACCCGACCCAGTCACCATCACCGTCGTCGGCCTCTACCCTGCACTTACTGACGACGACAGTGACTACTGGGTCTCCCAAGGACGAGGACAAGGATGACGACAGCTTCGTGGAGGACCGAGAGGTTTATCCTCTGAGGAATGCGCTGGGGGGAATAGCTGCCTTCTGGAGGATCCCGTTAGTCGCCTCTTAGACAAGAATAGTCGCCTCTTAGGAAAAGCATGGGTTATTGAAGACCTATTCTATCCCTGGACCTTCACGGGTCAAGTGCCAACTAAAACGATAATAATGAGGTTACAAAGTGTTATGATGCTGACATTGTCATCCCGACCTCATCCTTGCTCTTACTATAAAATACTAATGTTGCCTGGCCGATATTTTTATCCAGACGGAAAATCAAGGACTCCGGCGTAAAATAACGCTCACAGGCTTTCATACTTGCGTCACTGACAATACTAAATGGCATTCTTTGGGTGCTCATACAGTAGCCTTGAAACATTTCATCAAGGGAATGACATGACACAATCCAATCATTTTATACAAATATTTACTTTCGAAATACAATTTATACACACATATTTCACGGAAATGTACAGTAAACATGCCGGTTTAATACTATCGATAATGTAACCAGATCCTGAAATGAAAGACACTAAGAACTGATGAAACCAAAAAATCACTGTATCTGATTGACAAACAAAAGGACAGATTTTGACTTGCTTGAAACAGAAACCTAGGCGAGGTGTGTTCGACAGTATTTGTACATTTAATAAACCAGATATGGCAGTTTCTTCAGGAATGTGCCGTCTGTCATGATTAGATCACAGAAACTGTTAACAAGACATTAGAAACAACTAACACTTCTCTTGATAGTGCATAAGATATGTGTCCTCATACATCCTCCATATCTCCGGGGCTCTCATTGCGGTTAACCCACACTAACCCCTGGACCCGTGGACCCGTGAGGATTCCGGGGTAGAATAGGTATTCAGCAACCGATGCTTGCCGTAAAAGGCGACTATGCTTGTCGTAAAAGGCGACTAACCGGATCGGGTGGTCAGGCTCGCTGATTTGGTTGATGCATGTCCTCGATCCAAATTGCGCGGATCGATGCTCATGATGTCAATCACTTGATTGTCTGGTCCAGACTCGATTATTACCCAGCCTTGGTTTTCATAACATTTTACCAAGCAATAAAACTTCAAGATAAGGAAAAGGAAATGGGTAAGGGACTTGTCATCGCCAATTTTAATGGACAGGAAGGCAACCTTTCCAACAAGAAGATTCTTTAGGGCTTTTTGCGTGTCAATCAGTTTTTCAATTTTGAATTTCTCACAAACACTATCGAAATCAATGAGATCACCAACTAACATTCACGCTGGTTTGTAAATCGCATTCCAATTGGTCCGTCAGACCAGCAATCCGATTGGTTAAGGTATTCAGGGGCGGGTAATTTGAGATCGTGAGAACAACAGGAATGGATCCAGGGGTGAAGGTAGGTTTACCGAAATGGGAGCCCAGGAGATATGGCGGATTGTCCTCAGTGTCAGATGTCGACTGATGAGTTGGTGCAGTGATGGCAAGTGAATGGTGCCAAAGGTGGTCAGGGACCCCTAAAGTCATGCCTCAGACCCCAAAAATGTATTACTGTGAATCCCCTGGCAGGGTTAGAACTTAACACTAGCCTTCTAGTCCGGGTCTAGTACAAATTCCTGCTGGCTAGAACAAATTTCTAAATGTCCCCATTGTTTTAGCATTATTAGGTCATTTTATCTTTCCTTGGGCTAGTAAAGCTTGAGAGTTTAGCTCTAACCCTGCCTGGACTCAAAAATAGAAGATGAGTCAGGAAAATCCCTGCATATTATGTATCAAACAGTCATGTGTACATACACTCACCACTTTCTGCAAATAAGGAAGGACAAAAAATCATAGATGTCGAATCAGGAATTTCAATTTCAAAAGTTTATTTCCAGTTGTTTGATAAATTATAATAAATTCCAAAATATAACATACATTACCCTGTCCTGTGTTAACATTGTGAAGTTGTAGCCAGGCATAACACAAGATGGCATCTCGAGAAGAGACCTGTTCAAGTATTGGAGTTACGATCATCTTAGCACTAAGATCCCTACAGGGCCCGGGAAATCATCCAAATAAAGTAAAATGGGTGTGAAAAAAATGTTGTCTTTACACATAAAGATGATGCAGCACAAAACCATCAAGAACCAGTCTCCATAAGAAGAGCTCCATGCAGTAGCAAATGCAGTCATGAGCTGCTTAGGATGGACAGAGGTACTGCTGTACAGTGAGTGAGTGAGTTGGCTTGAATGTCACTTTTAACATTATTCCAGTTATATCACCGCGTGTCAACTTGATGTGGGAGGAAAGCCCGAAGTGATGCAGGTCTTAGACGTTTACCACTTTGGTGAAACCCACGTTGACAGATATGGTGCTGACATAATCGGCGAGTCGGGATTCAAACCCACAAGCAAAGGTTTCTGGCATACCCAAGGGTACTCTGCACAGCAAATTGCGGCGCCTTAGACAACTGGGCCACCCCTGCCCCCTGCTGTACACAACGTGGAGTAGGTTCACTGGACTCACAGAACAATGATGTCACGTCTTATTGCAGATTAATATTACATAGTAATCAAATATACAGTGCCTTACTTATCAATGACATAGAAACATTGCTACACTGGTGGATCAATAAGATGCTGGATACAGTCTCTTACATTCAGGGCTTGATAACATGATTACACCAACATGTAAGGACAACGTATTTCACAAATTGTCAAGTAAATCACATCGAGAGAACAGTTAGTTTAACTCACAGCAATATTCTAACAATATGATGGCGGCATATAAATAATCAAATCCTGGCCAGCCAATCCAGTGACTGATATTGTGAGCAACGATCCATGCTGTTGGGTTACGAGGACACGCCATCATGTCCGGAAAGCAGAAGCTGACAGTCATGTGACTTGGTCATAGATATATATTTCTACTCAGCAGAAAATGAGTGAGTGAGTTGGGTTTAACGCCGCTTTTAACAGTATTCCAGTTATATCACAGCATGTCAGCTTAATGTGGGAGGAAAGCCTGAAGTGATGCAGGTCTCAGACGTTTACCACTTCGGTGAAACCCACGAGCACGGGTATGGTGCTGACAAACCTAGAAACATAATTGGGGCAAACAGGGATTCGAACCTACCATCATAGATTTATGGCATGTCCAACGGACGCAATTCTGCACAGCGAATCACGGCGCTTTAGACGACTGGGCCACCCGTGCCCCCCAGTAGAAAATGAAGTTGATCAGACTCAAACACTGGGTACCCTCCTCCACAGCCTAGAACATGGTGGCTCATGGTTTTAGTGAACAAAGTTCAAAGCATTCTTACGGCCTTTCAAAGGTAATGATCACACTTTTCAAGGCAAAAGTGAGAGAATATATCAGGACATTCTTACTCGTTTCACTGTAATCGTCTTCCCAAGGCAAGGGCGTTAACTGACCATAAAAGTCCAGTTTCCACCCTTGCCGAACTAGGCTGGAATTCTGAAGTTACATTTTGGTGGAGTCTATGCATAGTTCAATCAAAATTGCGTAACGAACTAGACATCTGGTTCATAAACAACATGGATTTCAACATGCAGATTTCTGTCAACTGAAGGATTTGCAAAGCATGTGTACTGCCAACTGGGCGTCAACAGATATTTTGCAAATCTTTTCATGTTTTTAATCAGGGTGCTCAAGTAATCTGATGCACTTCGCAAGGTAAGGCCTGTCTTATTACAATACAGGTCTTGACTATCGATCAGATGATCTTGACTTGGTGCCGCCATTTTGATTGAAGAAATTGCAAGTGATAGAAGAGGTGGAATCTGATTGGTCAATGGGAGGGACATAAAAGGGACATAACTCGTAAAAGTCCCTGGTGGCGCTATGATAAAGCCTGGAAAATCCAGCCTAGCTCAACAAGGGTGGAAACTGGACTTTAAAAGTCAGCTAATGCCCTTGCCTCAGGAAGATACACTGTAATGAGTTCTGAGTAGTTGGTGCCTGCCCCTGATTATTAAGATTTTAATCTACACCAGTGTTTTCACATTACTTCTCCAGTGATCGACAAACCTATCTCTGACTTCATATCATCATAAAACCGTAATTGTAAAATATTTTAACCTTGCTTGTCAATTCAAGACATTTTTTAAAATCCAAAACTTTTTCAAGACATATTCAACCTTAAGGTCTTTTCAAGGCCAGACAGTCAAATTTAAGGCCCTTGCAACCCTGTGTGAACCTTGCAGTAGAAAGGCCAGTGATTGTTGCGGTACCTAGGCAGGGTTGGATGTTGTGTCCACAACACTACTTCCTGATCTTCTCTCATAAAAAACTTAAGTGTTGAAACGGAAATAGCACTTGTCGATGCATTAAAATATCCAGTCGTTATGTCTGTGCATGTGAGTAGTTCATTGTTTTTGTTCATTCCTTGCACACATCACTGTTTAGCTGTCGTCCATACTGGTCCCCAACTGAAGCCTGAAGGTGATGGAGGTGGGTGTGGTCACATCAGCTACATAGATCTCCTGACCATTACGTAGACCTAAATCTGAAGTGACACACAAATGAGACAACATATATATTCAGAATCCACACCTCAAATCACTTAATATAAGCAACAAAACCATTTCCTTAATCATAAAATACACCGCTAAAACAGAGTCAATTGTACAATTTGACTATGTCATCAACATGTGTTAATGAATCACCATCAAACAATGATGAAACAGGGTTTTCGCAAAAAACTAAGTGTATCCTTCCCCACCAGTGGCACTCATCACAAACACATGAAAAGGCAAGTCAATTGTTCACTAGGAAACATATGTTACATGTCAAAATAATGACTTCATTTCTGTCACTGCTGTATGAAAATTTGAAATGTCCTCCACATGTCTACCAAAGAACTTTTTGAAAGCTTTACTAAGGCCTTGAAAGTTGTAACCCTGATCAAACAACATTTGAGTTAGAGTCATATGGCACTCTTTGAAATTAATACAGAAAGTCCGAAGCTTCTAACTACCTAATAAGAAACTTATATGCACCGGTTTAATCACATCCCTTCTAATTTGTGAAAACACATGTTTAACATTAAAACAGAAAATCCCATGCCTTGGGTTACGTTAATAAGACAGTTAAATGCACTTCAGTTGAATGACCTAGACCCTCAATTTCAGCCAATCAATTGCTTGATTATCCACTAGTTGAAACCATGGGTGCTAGCTCTTAGACATGGCATACGAACACAAGGATTAATTCAGTACACAGTAAGAAGCAGAACTACTTTACGAATGACCATTCCATTGACCTTAAAGTTCAGTGAAGTCCCTCAAAGCCTTATCATTACATTGCCCCACCCTGAGGATGATATATACTAAATCCCTTACAAAGAACACTTCTTGAGTCATCATACGATTGTCCTAACTTATTACCCATGAGGAGTATTCAAATATTATAACTACTCCATGTAAAGAGACTTGAAACTATCTGCAGAAAAAGGCATTAAAGTTAAAATGGCAGACATACTTTATGAATGAGCAACACCTTACACATAAGGTCCTTTTCTCAGGCTCTGACCTTGAGGTTGACCTTGACCCTTGATATGACATTAAATGTTCAAAAGAAAATTCCCAGGAAATAAACATTATGTGATATCCTTGAAATGTCCAAGCTTGGCATATTTTTAAAACAGTGTTATCACTATACCCCACCATGGGGCACATTAGAATATATTTTTTTTCATAGTCTATATGCACCATTACAGGAATCGTGTCCTATTTAAAGCCTTTAGAAGTGATAAGACTTGGGCAGCTTAATGTCATCAGTAAGAATGAAGTGTTAAACTAGTATACACAAAAGGCCCCTTTTCTGGAAAAAACAACTCAGTCTTGATAAGTATCTCTTAGATAAGCTAACTTCAGTAGTTTCTGAGAAAACTTGTCCGTATTGCAGACACTATACACCAAGTAAAATAACATGGATCAAGGGCTGTAACTCTGTAAAAAAATAAGTTACAGCACAAATTTCTCAAACTCAGAAATGACAAGTATTGCTTAAATAAGCATGCAAACTTTCATTCATGTAACTTCAGTAGTCTGTGAGAAAACTTCCCCATTTCACACAGTATGCACTCTCTCGAAAAGCATGAAGCAAGGGCCTTAACTCTGTAAAAATGAATTTACAACACCAATTTTGAAATCATTGGACGTCATGACCAGTAATACCAGTGTGTTAAATTTCTGACTAAAATAGTTTTTGAGAAAATTTGTCCCCGTTGAGAAGCGGATGGATGGAAGGACGGACGGACGGATGGACCGACGAAAACAGTTCCTATATCCCCGCCCCACATCATGGCGGGGTATAATAATTAAGTGTGGCAGCAGTAGCCAAGTTCAGAAAAGATACAAAGCATCCTCATTTACACGGGGTTGCTTCAGAATCAATAACCTCCTCTAGGTTAACACAAATTCTGGAGAAAGTAATTCTTAAAAACAACATGTATTATAATGCGATATTTATATGAATGGTTTTAATGTAGATACTCACCTTTAAGACTTTTCTTTAAATTTTCTTTTGTTTTTTCTTCTATAGATTTCACAGTCTGCATGTACAGAGTTTTGTTTTTACCATCTACACAGGTAGTAATGCCAGGGGACTTCATCTGACTGAAACACAAACAATCCTTGAATCTGTGTGTACCACAACAGCAGGCCAGTATATAAGTGTGAGTAAAAAGAAGACTGGACAATACACCAAGTTATGCTACGATACATGTTGGTTGGTTGGTTTGTTGTTTAATGCTGCCCTCAGCAATATTCCAGCTATATGACCGCAGTCTGTAAATAATGGAGTCTTGACCAGACATCCAGTGATTGATATCATAAGCATCGATCCACGCACTTGGGATTGATGACATGCATCAACCAAGTCAGCGAGCCTGACCACCCGATCTCGTTAGTCGCATGGGTTGCTGAAGATCTGATTCACATCATGAGCATCGATCCACGCAATTGGGATACGATGACATGCATCAAACCAAGTCAGCAAGCCTGACCACCCGATCCCGTTAGTCGCCTTTTACGACAAACATAGTCGTCTTTTATGGCAAGCATGGGTTGCTGAAGATATATCATGATACAGGATGCCACATATCAGCATCCCATCAGACTTGCTGTTGCCTACATAGGAGGCCTCAAGTTGCAATCAAGCAAATCCTTTTACAACCGTGGCAAGTGCCCTGACTATGATGATGCTCTGATGTGTAGTGTTGGATACCTACTGATAAACAATGGAACATAATGTCGGAGGGTGTAATGATACACCACACATCTGATGCACTGCAATACATGGCCTTCGATATCATACATGGTACATGGACCTGTATCGTGACTTCCTATAGAAATGTGCATGCATTTGTGTATGGCTGCTTGTACTAGTCTTCGACTTATACCGGTTTTAAAGTGCTAACGACCTGAGAAGATCCGGGGTAGAATAGGTCTTCAGCAACCCATGCTTATCGTAAAAGGTGACTGTGCTTGTCGTAAGAGGCGACTAACGGGATCGGGTGATCAGGCTCCTGACTTGGTTGATGCATGTCATCGTATCCCAATTATGTGGATCGATGCTCACGATGTCAATCACTGGATTGTCTGGTCCAGACTTGATTATTTACAGACTGCCGTCATATAGCTGGAATATTGCTGAGTGCGGCATTAAACAACAAACAAACAAACAGAAAAATAATAGTGATAGCCCACTGAGATACCATGCCACAGCTTAACATGGATAAACGTTGAAGGCTTTTTCAGTCTTTCAAATCTGATTTTATGGAATAATACATAACCAATCAAAACATCAAAGACACAGATCTGAAAGTTTCTTCAATGCAAAAGAACAAATGTTAATGAATAATATTTTGATTTTATCTTAGAATCTGACAAAGTTCCGAAAGTACATGACTGACGATAATAGACTGATGTCTCCGAGGTGTAAAACTGGTCTGCTAGTCTGTGTACAGTGATGTAGGTACATATAAACTGTAGTCTCTGTAATTCCCTCATGAAATCTGAGGTGATGCTGTCCGTATTATTTCTGCAAAGTACTCACTACGTATTACTCTCGATGAGGTGTGTGATGACGTCCTGCAGCTTGTCGTTCTCGGAGAAGGAGAGGGCTTGAGGGATCTGGCTGCAGCCCATACAGTCCTCCTGATACAGAAGGATGGGGGTTAGAAAAGGATGTCAGCCAATATCCAAAACCAAAATTGTGGTTAAGTAACTCATAGAAATCTGCCACTGCTTATTTTAAAAGTAAGTAGTCTGTTTTGACATTCATTCATACATTGGAAGAAATATCTGGTGTCACACATGGTCACAGACCACCTACAGCAGGTCTTTTGTCACAGATTTCTACACACCACCTACAGCTGTGATATGCAGGTCTTTTGTCACAGATTTCCACACCACCTACAGCTGTGATATGCAGGTCTTTTGTCACAGATTTCTACACACCACCTACAGCTGTGATATGCAGGTCTTTTGTCACAGACTTGCACACCACCTACAGCTGTGATATGCAGGTCTTTTGTCACAGACTTGCACACCACCTACAGCTGTGATATGCAGGTCTTTTGTCACAGACTTCCACACCACCTACAGCTGTGATATGCAGGTCTTTTGTCACAGACTTCCACACCACCTACAGCTGTGATATGCAGGTCTTTTGTCACAGACTTCCACACCACCTACAGCTGTGATATGCAGGCCTTTTGTCACAGACTTCCACACCACCTACAGCTGTGATATGCAGGTCTTTTGTCACAGACTTCCACACCACCTACAGCTGTGATATGAAGGTCTTTTGTCACAGACTTGCACACCACCTACAGCTGTGATATGCAGGTCTTTTGTCACAGACTTGCACACCACCTACAGCTGTGATATGCAGGTCTTTTGTCACAGACTTCCACACCACCTACAGCTGTGATATGCAGGTCTTTTGTCACAGACTTGCACACCACCTACAGCTGTGATATGCAGGTCTTTTGTCACAGACTTCCACACCACCTACAGCTGTGATATGCAGGTCTTTTGTCACAGACTTCCACACCACCTACAGCTGTGATATGCAGGTCTTTTGTCACAGACTTCCACACCACCTACAGCTGTGATATGCAGGTCTTTTGTCACAGACTTGCACACCACCTACAGCTGTGATATGAAGGTCTTTTGTCACAGACTTGCACACCACCTACAGCTGTGATATGAAGGTCTTTTGTCACAGACTTGCACACCACCTACAGCTGTGATATGCAGGTCTTTTGTCACAGACTTCCACACCACCTACAGCTGTGATATGCAGGTCTTTTGTCACAGACTTCCACACCACCTACAGCTGTGATATGCAGGTCTTTTGTCACAGATTTCTACACACCACCTACAGCTGTGATATGCAGGTCTTTTGTCACAGACTTGCACACCACCTACAGCTGTGATATGCAGGTCTTTTGTCACACATTACCACACCACCTACAGCTGTGATATGCAGGTCTTTTGTCACAGACTTCCACACCACCTACAGCTGTGATATGCAGGTCTTTTGTCACAGATTTCTACACACCACCTACAGCTGTGATATGCAGGTCTTTTGTCACAGACTTGCACACCACCTACAGCTGTGATATGCAGGTCTTTTGTCACAGACTTCCACACCACCTACAGCTGTGATATGCAGGTCTTTTGTCACAGACTTCCACACCACCTACAGCTGTGATATGCAGGTCTTTTGTCACAGACTTCCACACCACCTACAGCTGTGATATGCAGGTCTTTTGTCACAGACTTGCACACCACCTACAGCTGTGATATGAAGGTCTTTTGTCACAGACTTGCACACCACCTACAGCTGTGATATGAAGGTCTTTTGTCACAGACTTGCACACCACCTACAGCTGTGATATGCAGGTCTTTTGTCACAGATTTCCACACCACCTACAGCTGTGATATGCAGGTCTTTTGTCACAGATTTCTACACACCACCTACAGCTGTGATATGCAGGTCTTTTGTCACAGATTTCTACACACCACCTACAGCTGTGATATGCAGGTCTTTTGTCACAGATTTCTACACACCACCTACAGCTGTGATATGCAGGTCTTTTGTCACAGATTTCTACACACCACCTACAGCTGTGATATGCAGGTCTTTTGTCACAGATTTCTACACACCACCTACAGCTGTGATATGCAGGTCTTTTGTCACAGATTTCTACACACCACCTACAGCTGTGATATGCAGGTCTTTTGTCACAGACTTCCACACCACCTACAGCTGTGATATGCAGGTCTTTTGTCACAGATTTCTACACACCACCTACAGCTGTGATATGCAGGTCTTTTGTCACAGATTTCTACACACCACCTACAGCTGTGATATGCAGGTCTTTTGTCACAGATTTCTACACACCACCTACAGCTGTGATATGCAGGTCTTTTGTCACAGATTTCTACACACCACCTACAGCTGTGATATGCAGGTCTTTTGTCACAGATTTCTACACACCACCTACAGCTGTGATATGCAGGTCTTTTGTCACAGATTTCTACACACCACCTACAGCTGTGATATGCAGGTCTTTTGTCACAGATTTCTACACACCACCTACAGCTGTGATATGCAGGTCTTTTGTCACAGATTTCTACACACCACCTACAGCTGTGATATGCAGGTCTTTTGTCACAGACTTCCACACCACCTACAGCTGTGATATGCAGGTCTTTTGTCACAGATTTCTACACACCACCTACAGCTGTGATATGCAGGTCTTTTGTCACAGACTTCCACACCACCTACAGCTGTGATATGCAGGTCTTTTGTCACAGATTTCCACACCACCTACAGCTGTGATATGCAGGTCTTTTGTCACAGACTTGCACACCACCTGCAGCTGTGATATGCAGGTCTTTTGTCACAGAATTCAACACCACCTACAGCTGTGATATGCAGGTCTTTTGTCACAGACTTGCACACCACCTACAGCTGTGATATGCAGGTCTTTTGTCACAGACTTGCACACCACCTGCAGCTGTGATATGCAGGTCTTTTGTCACAGATTTCAAAACCACCTGCAGCTGTGATATGCAGGTCTTTTGTCACAGACTTGCACACCACCTACAACTGTGATATGCAGGTCTTTTGTCACAGACTTCCACACCACCTGCAGCTGTGATATGCAGGTCTTTTGTCACACATTTCCATACACCGTCTACTGCTGTGATATACAGGTCTTTTGTCACACATTACCACACTGTCTACAGCTGCCATATACAGGTCTTTTGTCACACATTACCACACACCACCTACAGCTGCCATATACAGGTCTTTTGTCACACATTACCACACACCACCTACAGCTGCCATATACAGGTCACAAATGTCATACAAAGACACCCATTTCCACACACAACGTGATGGCCCATGTAACACATGTCATACCCAACCTACAGCTGTCATACACGAGTCAAACGTAATTAATAACTCCCTGTGGAAAATAGGTTCATGGGCTGGAGTTAACTAGAGAGGATCAAAAGGGCTACTAGATGGTTCTATGCTATCATATCACAACAGCATAGGTGCTCATGAACTCAACCACTGGTTTACCAGACCCAGGTTTATTACAGGCCACAGCTTTTATATTCACTAGCAATTCCACAGTCCCGCTTCTCAGTCAAGGAAAACTTCAACAACCCGAGAGAATAAGAATCTTACCCTCTTCTGTGCCTCGAATGTGAATGTGTACACCCCTTCTGTGTCGTTGAAGTTCATGTAGTTGTTGAGAGGATGCGAGCAGCTGGAACAAACATTTACCATGTGATGCAGATATGTAAAGCATCTTAAGGCCACAACAAATTAATTATTAGATGTTCATTCAATTCTTAATGCTCATGATGTCAATCACTGGATTGTCTGGTACAGACTCCATTATTTACAAACTGCCGTCATATAGCTGGAATATTGCTGAGTGTGGCGTTAAACAACAAACAAACAAACAATTTTTAAAAACACAAAGGCAGATTGCATATTATTTTTTATACATTTATTTTAAACAAACGACTTCAGAAATCACATGAATAAATTAATCAATGTTTCGCGAGGACTACATATTGTTATATACATGTACCACAAAAAGAAGTTAAGGACCACCCAATTCTTTCATATTACTATAGTTAATCAGCTTCCTCACATATATCCTACAGTTGCTGCTTCAATACACTTAGAATTTGCACCCCCCCTTCCAACCATGGTATAAAAGCATAGTATACGACAGGGTAAGTTTAAAAATTTGTAAATTTTAAATTAAATGATATATTTACATACTTATCCTATCCCACAACCTTTGTTTAGGCACATTTCAACTTAGGATTGAAAGAAGAATAAGAAATGCATAGCGCGAGATTATGATATTTTTATGATATAAATTTATTACAGCCTCATTTTATACAAATATAACCAGGGCCCACTTGCACACAGCGATCTTAGCGCAAAGATGATCGTAACTCCCATACTTTAACATAGGCTTACAATAGTCTTAGCGCTAAGATCGCTTTGTGCAAGTGGGCCCTGGTCAATATCTGTGCTAATCTACCTGACAAAGCTGCTAGTTGATTGAAATAAGAAAATACACAGCAAAGACCAATATGAAGAAAGTAACATCACAGGCTAGGTGATGTGAATTGGAGTTTATGTTCAAGATAACTACACTCGTAACACGAGTGTATGTCTGGCTGCTTGTACTAGCCCACTGAGATACCATGCCACAGTTCAACATGGATACTCTACTCAAGGCACATGATACCAAATCCAAGCCAAGTGGTCCTTGTTTTATCCCCTTAATGCAAAGTGCCAGGCAGGATAACAACAAATACCATCTTTTAACAATCTCATAAAAATCTAATCTTTCTGCTCGCTATTGCAACAAATAACAATATTGCAGCGAGCACTAAAATCTGATTACAATGAGATTGCATCCATAAACTTCCTTTGGTATGACACGGCCTGGGGATCAAACACCAACCTTCCCAGATGTAAAAACATAAGCTAGAAAGATCCTGTACCTTGTTGCCACCTTGAACACCTCCGTAGCACAGGCCGCTGGAATCAGTAAAACACTTCCATTATTTGACTACTATAATCTGTACTGTGAATCCATTATGATGTAAGTCATAGCCTTTCACTTCAGTTCATTAAAACTATTTCAAATGTTGCATTTACTGACATTTCCATTCTCATATGGCATATTACTTACATATTCTATTCAGACTCTCCATTTGTAAGTATCTTCATTCAATCACTGAGTTTTGTTTCAACAAGGAAATTCACCTCTAATAATAAGCGCAGGGCTTGTGATAATGCACAATGTTCTATATATGACAGTTTTAAAGTTTACTGTGTCACACTTTGCCAGCCTGTAAGGGTCAAGTAGGTGATGGTGGTCAACCGAGGATTCCTGTTGTCATACCTGGACTCCCAAAGCATTGCCAGGACTCCCACAGAGCTACACCAGGCAACACCGGTGGAGACTGTTTGCTCCAGTGGGTTTGGCTCTATGCATTGTTAGCAATATTTCAGCAATCATGTCAAGACACACATTGTGCTCATGTGGGGAATCATACCTAGGCATTTGGTATGACGAGTGAACGCTTCAACTACTTGGCCACCCCAGCGTCCCACAAGCCACGGAGCAAAAGATATGAAGTGTTATGAAGACAAGGATTTATTCCTTCATGCAACAGCTGCAATGGGGAACAGTACTGTGTGAAGCAATGGCGAACAGCCTTGTGTGAAGCAATGGGGAATAGCCTTGTGTGAAGCAATGGGGGAACAGCAGATATACAAAATCTCACCAATTATAAATGATTATATTGATAAAGATTGGTTTTCTTGTTTTTACCATGTTCAGATTACAAATCAAATCATTTTATTGTCCTGGATATCGTTCCAAGTTTCATAGCATGTGGTCCTACCTGCTATCACTGCATTAGTAGACGCCACCGCGGGGATGATTCTCTTGACAACACCTGCACAGGAGGAAGGAAGCATGTACAATAAGACTCCTACAGCATGTTGTCCCCACAGATATACATCCACAATTATCACATGTATCATATCTTCATTCAATGATGATAAATACCCTCGACCCACTCACCATTACGTTACACACGACATATCACTCACCCTGTGTGAGTCTGTACGTTACACGTGACATATTAACCACCCTGTGTGAGTCTGTAGGTTACACATGACATATCACCCACCCTGTGTGAGTCTGTACATTACACATGACATATCACTCACCCTGTGTGAGTCTGTACATTACACGTGACATATCACTCACCCTGTGTGAGTATGTACGTTACACGTGACATATCTCTCACCCTGTGTGAGTCTGTACGTTACACGTGACATATCACTCACCCTGTGTGAGTCTGTACGTTACATGTGACATATCACTCACCCTGTGTGAGTCTGTACGTTACATGTGACATATCTCTCACCCTGTGTGAGTCTTTACGTTACACGTGACATTTTAACCACCCTGTGTGAGTCTGTATGTTACACGTGACATATCACTCACCCTGTGTGAGTCTGTACGTTACACCTAGTATCCTATATTCATCAGCTCTCTCCTGGGACTTCTCAAGGATCCAGTTGATGTGTTTGGGGTCATCTCCATCTATAGCCACACCCTCTGAAACAACAGAGGGACATTGCTCCATCAGTTAGGTTTTAATAGACAAAACAAAAAATACCTTGCAAGTCCAGTTGGCCGCAATAAGGTTGTTCATTAAACTATTAAATTTATGAACATTGTAAGTATTATGCCACCATCGTTGACTCAATGGTACATATAATTGATATTTCTATTCTGGTAAAAAACAACACTCAAAATTCAGGGTGCCAATGGTCAATTTTCTTCAATCCAACATTGAAATCCCCATCTATAAGAGGCTAAATATGACATCAGTAAAATTCATAGACATAAGGTAAAGCATCCAACATCACCAGTTCATTTTCCAAGCAGAAGGATAGTCATGCTAACTTAACAGGTGAGCTTAGAAAATGTGTCATGGGTCCCGAACAATTGTTCAACTCCTCAGAAAATCCAATGGTCAGTCCCTACACACCACTACATATGCAATCACATCCAAATCAGACCATTTACTCTGATACGATTACCTCTCTACATGAAGATCTGACTACACCTCCATAGGGTGTCACGTCAGGTGAACTTTCTAATCAACCAATCCGTGTCAAGACTTCAAAATACACGGTGCAAGTGAGCAAAGCATTCAGACTGTATCTGCATATATCCAAAAGGGTGTACGATCAAGGGTATATTTGTGTTCTGTGGCAGTTTTCTATTGCTAGGATAGTAATTTTCAAATCAAGGTAGTAAAGAAATGCTGAATTCTTTTAGAAAGCTGACGTTTGACTGTCTCTAGATCCTTTATTTGATTGGGCAAAGTTGGCTCAGGGTCCACCTGATGGGTCCACCTGATGGGTCCACCTGATAGGACCTCCAAGGGATGTGTCCTCAGATCTTCACACAGCAAGGTATCATTTGAGTAAAACATCACGTTCGGTTCTAAATTCCACTTTAAACCTACAGGTATCTCTACATTGAAAACACAGTATGTTTAGCTTCTAATTGTAGGCCTCTCTGACATAACTGTAAAATATACCAACAACAACATTCACTATCCAATGACAGATCAGCACAACTCCATCACTAACACACAGCACCAGGGGTTCTGCTCACCCCCGAACGGCTGCTCCTTGGGCCACAGCAGGATCCTGACGTACTCTATACAGTGCTCCGGCAGCCGCGGCGTGTGCGCAATTGTGCAGAGGGGGAAGTTTACCTGGAAGAACACAAAACTTCATGATTATGAAGATTTACTTGTTCCCTGAATAAGAAACTCCGCTGATATCACCTGAACATGGTTCACAACACCCCACCCCGCATGTGAGTGAGTGAGTATGGTTTTACGCCGCATTAAGCAATATTCCAGAAATATCACAGCAGGGTACACCGGAAAATGGGTTTCACACAGTGTACCCATGTGGGGAATCAAACCCGGGTCTCCGGCGTGATGAGCGCACGCTTTAACCACTGGGCTACCTCACCGTCCCTGGTACATAAAACACAGCACGTAGTCCTATGTACCGCACACAGGTGAGGTGAGGTGAGGTGAAATTGGGTTTAACGTCGCGTCCAAGATTATTGCACTTATATAGCGACGTGCATGTACGTGTGAGTGTTTGTGTGTGTGGCTGCTTGTACTAGTGCCGATTTATAGTGCTAGCACACTGAGAAACCATGCCGCAGTTTAACATGAATACCCAACTCAGACACAGTATACTGACTCCGAGCCGACCAGTCCTTGTTTTAGCCCCTTAATGCCGAGCGCCAGACAGGGTAACAACAAGTACCATCTTTTAACGTCTTTTGGTATGACGCGGCCGGGGATCGAACCCCGGACCTTCTGCTCTCCGGACGGACGCTCTACCATTAGACCACGGAGGCGGTTACCGCACACAGGTCACAAATCAGGTGAAGTTAAGCAATGTTGGTTGCAGAGAGAAGTTGGATGGGTGACCATGTTAGACAGGTTGATTCCTGTGAGTTTCTAGGGCCTTGGTCCTGCCCCACACTGAAACACATATGTGGTGTCTCCTGGGGCAAGTGACATTGTTCGAAATATGCCAACGAGTGAATGGGTACCTGGTAGGATGGGATGGTAATTTGACTGTTAATGTTCTAGCACCTAACAGGCTGTTTGCGTTATATACTCCCCAGGGTGATGAGAATGAAAGTCGATGCTCATTGATTCACTGACCAGAGTAATAATGTAGGTCTGACATCGTCTAAGTGCATTTGAGAAGCTATAAATTGGAAAGTGTGCCACACAAATTCATTAATTAATTTAACACCAGCCCACATGGTACACCACACCACCCCATACGGTACACCATGTCTCCACCCCATGTGCACACCACCCCACATGGTACACCACCCCACCCCATACGGTACACCATGCCTCCAAACCCATCCCACCCCATGTGTACACCACCCCACATGGTACACCACACCACCCCACATGGTACACCATGTCTCCACCCCATCCCACCCCATGTGTACACCACCCTACATGGTACACCACACCACCCCATCCCACCCCATGTGTACACCACCCCACATGGTACACCACACCACCCCATACGGTACACCACCCCATACGGTACACTACACCACCCCACATGGTACACCACACCACCCCATACTGTACACCACCCCACCCCACATGGTATACCACACCACCCCATACGGTACACCATGCCTCCACCCCATCCCATCCCATGTGTACACCACCCCACATGGTACATCACACCACCCCATACGGTACACCATGTCTCCACCCCATCCCCCCCCATGTGTACACCACCCCACATGGTACACCACACCACCCCATATTGTACACCATGTCTCCACCCCATGTGCACACCACCCCACATGGTACACCACCCCACCCCACATGGTACACCCACCTGAGGGGGATACAAGTCCAGCGTACACTCTATACAAGCTGTCATCCCCGGCAGGACAACACGGGCGTTCCCCTTGAAGCCCTCTGTCCCCCCATCCACCATAGGGATGATGGACGACTGGTCCAGCTCTCCATCTTCATAGTTCAACAAGCTTATCTGCAGACATCAATAAATATTGCATTAAAATCAACTGCTTTCACCTGATTCATATAATAGGTTCCATTGTCCCCTATTTGCCAAACAGGAAGTGGTTTAACAATGACATGCAGAAAGGAGGAAGGATAACGGCCCTTTTTGGCCCACTTGGAATGTTGAAGTAGAAAATTGTGGAAATAATTATCAGAATCATCATAATGGCTAACAGCTAGCCTTGAACTTTTCATGCACTTGCAAGTGTTGGACTTCTAACATGATTAATACATGAGAATGCTTAAAATTAGTGAAAATTATGATTTTTCTAAACCCAACCACAGCAAGTCCATAACCCAAGATGATTTCTTCATCATGTTTATACTTATTCATCGAAATTCAGCTGGGGTCAAATATTAGAAGACAGCTTCCTGAACACCTGTGAAATCATCCTTTGTGACACGTTTCAGCAGTAACTGCTTGTTGCATGTTGTTTTAAGTCCCAAACATGCAAGAGTAAAGTCTAATACTCATTTACATGAACACATCGGATAACGCTCATAGCGATTTTGTAAAAGATGATCTCATTTCCTAAATTATGAAGATCTTCTGGGCCAAAAATGGTTCTTTTGATCACTTATCCTTTCAAAAACAGATGATTCTCAAAACTAAACACTGGCAGGACGTGACAACTTCGAGTTTTACAATGGCAACATAATCCCTGAACACCACCAGTGACCTTCACATGCTGTACCTTATTAGAGATTTGAACATGTGTTTAACCACTAGCACCCAAGCACAACTCCACCAGCAGTAGGAGGTTAAGAATTAACATTTGAGTATTTCTGCTCTGTGAAACTGTGTATTCAGGGATCATTCATACAAAGTTTCATCTCCATAGGTCTTGTAGTTTCAGAGTTGTCAAAAATGTAAAATTTAAAGACGAACGAACTGACAAGGTGTCACAACAAAAGCACACTTGAAATTCAGTCAGGTGAGCTAAAGAGTGCAGCGCTTTTCTCCACGGATTACCAGCATGCCGTTGATCCAGCGCCGCGCAATGATGGAGTCCAGGCCGCACACAATGATGTGGAAACCTGCAACATGAACAGAATTTGTCTTCACTTTCCAAGACTGCAATGAAGAGACTGCAGTACTGGGTTCAGGGATATATTTACTTTCAAATGTGGGCATGGCACTCATTACCATGCTTAGTGTTCTCTTTGCAATTTCAGTGAATCAAAAATAATAATCCTCTGATCCGTCTTCTACATGTTCAAACTTTGTTAATGTCAATTCACTGGAAACCACGGCAACCATAGTGCATCCTACTCACCTCTGTAAAATGCCTCATCATAGTCTTGAATCTTTGCGTAATGTCTGTTGGATTGTGTTAAGAAAATAGGAGAACTGATTATCTTTTAATTCAAGTGCAATCTCCAAGTCTTATGTCAGGACATCAGCCCACAGTGTCGTTACAAGTGAGTAAAACATTCAGACCAGCATATCTCGTTTCTGTATCTCAAAAACGAACTAAAACGACCAGTTCTGAATGTCAATAGTTCAGGTTGGATATTTTATACATCCTGTCATTTCTGAGCTCAATGGCATCTACACCCAAACAATCATCTGCTGATGGTCGCTCCTGACTAGCCTTGACGACTCTGATTCCGTAACTAAGACGACTCACAGAGAATGGCAACACTGAACCATGTCTAATGCCTGATCCAAGTGTAGATCTTTGCTAAATACAAGACAGGGGTACTGGCTGGGGACTTTCACTGTTTCGAAATTCCCTTTGCAACCGCTTGCCCCTAGCCAAATTGCGACTCAATTTGAATGAGACAAGCCCCCTCCTCTTAAGCATCAGTGGATTTATATCTTTAGAAAATGTCCTCTGTCAGGTTTACAGGAGAATCCTCACCTTAATCCAACCTTACATTAATCCAATCACACACCAAATAGCACTGCTTATTAGCGCTGAGTAGAGTACTTCCGTTAAACAATACATGCGTGCTGGCTTGTGTCGGCCTTTGACGCAGTCGCAAAGAACAAAGACACCATGTTGTGTGGGTGGCGTCTGTCTGGACCAGTGACCAGTGATGACATAAGTGAGTAGAACTCTTGTCTTGACCCCAGCAGTGACAATTCACAAGATGTAATTAGTGTTTGAAGAAATTGTTTATATACTTGTTACAAGTGCTGCTCAACAAAGTGACGTGGAATACATAGTTGTTTGTTTTCAGCGTATGTCTAAGTTGGTATGTCTTATTGTTGATATAAATGCGATGTTTAATAATGCGAGCAAAGACCACTTGCATTTTTCGCATTTAATTCAAGCTCGCATTAATTTCAAGATTTACAGAATTCAATTGACATAGTAGAGGCAAGCTAGTGAAATTCCACATCAGAGAGACTTGTCACCCTTCAAATCCTGGAAGCCATTTTCTGGGGTACTGGTGCCCAAATTAGTGGGCCTGTACTACCCCAACACTCAAGTGCAAGGTTATTGAAAGTGTTGGGCAAATGTTTCACCCCACAGTCAGCAATATTGCAGCCATATCACTGCAGCCTATAAATAATCACGTCTATCCAGGCCTTGAAAGCATCAAGATAGATTTAGGGCTGGGATGAGTCCAAATTTACTTCTTGGGTACCTGACCCCCTTTCACCCAACCCTACCCGTCGTAGGTCTCAAGAGCTGGCTACAAAATGTCTGCTTGCGAATTGTTTTACCGGAGCCCTGACAACAAGATACATATATGAAACAATCGGATCATGCATTCACTGAAGTTGACTGAAGCTTTATCTTAATTCATTGTTCTGCCGAGGCAGCGGCCTCATGGGATTCTTGCAATAATTTATTGATTGGTGCATAATATTTACGCTCAGTGGGACATCTGGTGCATTCATATCGATGGGTTTATTTAACATAACTATGGGAGTCACTGACTGTCTCAAATATATTTTACATCACTTGGACAGCTGCTTCATTTATTGAATGTAAACATCCAGATTTTCATTGTCTTATGTGTCTTAATTTACTCTCAGCGCATTTCATTGGCCGAAAGCAACAAATGGTCGAACAGAATCTGGCGTACACATTCAGTGTATTGCAAACGTTACGTGTGGACAGTGATTCTGCATTAATTACCTGCATATCAGGTTTTTAAGAGTGGCCCCATAAGTATTGAAAATGACCCCCTGTATTTGTGTTGAAGAGGTCCCTGTCCCCACTTGTTCAGTTTCTTGGCAGAACTCTGTTTTTTTCTAAAATATGAAAGTCAGAAGGAATGTGAGCATAGTCAGAAATAAAAGTAAACAGTGACTTTTTTTGTAATTAAACATATTTTCTGAGTTACCAGAGTTTACCGTCCCAGCCCTAAGATGATGTCACAAACAGTCTGATCACACATTGTAACACTCAGATTTTCAGATTGAAATTTTTATAGTACACTGGGGATCTATTCTACTTAAAGAAGGGGGCTCAAGACAAACATGGTGTAGAGTACTGGGGATCTATTCTACAGAAGATTCCAGAAATTGGGGCTTCAAACAAACAAGGTACATTGGGGATCTATTCTAGCCAAAAATCCAGTGAAGGGGCCTAAAAACAAACATGGTGATCTGGGGATCTACTCTATCCCATAATCCTCTTTAAGAAGGATACGCTGTGACTTTGCATCCTGGGACTCGATTGTTGACAAAATCAGCTGCAACTTCAGCCTTAGCTTTCCCAACATCCTTTGGTCTGAAACATGTAAATACTAAATACCTCACACTCATGAACAGTGGCTAAGCAGTAACAAAATACAATACAATCCTTTACATCGGCATGTTTAAACTACTTAGTAACCATCCAGTGATTCACATCATGAGCATCGATACACGCTATTGGGATACCATGACATGCATCAACCAAGTCAGCGAGCCTGACCACCCGATCCATTAGTCTCCTCTTATGACAAGGATAGTCACCTTTTACAGCAAGCATGAGTTGCTGAGGACCAATTCTTATCTGAACCTTCATGGGTTGGATATCACAATGACTTCAACCTGTTGTCAGACTGTTCGGCATCTTCTTACCATCTAAGTGAGAGAGGGCTGGGTTAACCGTCTCCCTGAACAGTTATATCACAGCATGTCAGCTTAATGTTGACCCAAAGTGACACTGTTATACACAAAACTGGTGGGAGACCATGGAACCATCAGGTATGGTGCAGACAAACCAAGGATGAGCATCAGGGTGAATTTGGGATTCAAACCCACGACCACTGGGTCATGGCACAGTTAAGGGAGTAATTCTCAGCTGCAATCATCTGCCCGTGGCTCTTATAGATATGATATTGCTACCCTGAATGCTACCCACCTGAAGAGGAACTGCCTGTTGAGATTGGAAACATCAATGATGTCCATATCAATCACGTCAATATTGCGAAAACCAAGCAGCGCCTGTCATGGAAACACATCTTCCTTGAAATCTCAAATGGCATATTTTCTTCTTTCTATGAGTCAATCATTACATTTAGCATGTTAAGCTAGACTGAGGCATATAGAAACATAATATGTCTGGGTTTTTGGTGGGTTTTTTTAATAATGGACTCAGCAATATTCAAGCCACATATGAATATGATGGCAGTCTGTAAATAATTGAGTCTGGCCCAGAAAATCTAGTGATTGATATTGTGAGCAACAACTCCAATCTAAGGATACAATGACACGCAATCAACCAAGTCACCAAACCTGACCACCTCTTGCAACAAGCGTAGGTTGCTGGAGACCTAAATTCTTATCCATAATCCCTCTTGCAACAAGCGTAGGTTGCTGGGGATCTAAATTCTTATCCATAATCCCTCTTGCAACAAGCGTAGGATGCTGGGGACCTAAATTCTTATCCATAATCCCTCTTGCAACAAGCATAGGTTGCTGGGGACCTAAATTCTTATCCATAATCCCTCTTGCAACAAGCATAGGTTGCTGGGGACCTAAATTCTTATCCATAATCCCTCTTGCAACAAGCGTAGGATGCTGGGGACCTAAATTCTTATCCATAATCCCTCTTGCAACAAGCGTAGGGTGCTGGGGACCTAAATTCTTATCCATAATCCCTCTTGCAACAAGCGTAGGGTGCTGGAGACCTAAATTCTTATCCATAATCCCTCTTGCAACAAGCGTAGGATGCTGGAGACCTAAATTCTTATCCATAATCCCTCTTGCAACAAGCGTAGGATGCTGAGGACCTAAATTCTTATCCATAATCCCTCTTGCAACAAGCATAGGTTGCTGGGGACCTAAATTCTTATCCATAATCCCTCTTGCAACAAGCGTAGGATGCTGAGGACCTAAATTCTTATCCATAATCCCTCTTGCAACAAGCATAGGTTGCTGGGGACCTAAATTCTTATCCATAATCCCTCTTGCAACAAGCGTAGGGTGCTGGAGACCTAAATTCTTATCCATAATCCCTCTTGCAACAAGCATAGGATGCTGGGGATCTAAATTCTTATCCATAATCCCTCTTGCAACAAGCATAGGTTGCTGGGGACCTAAATTCTTATCCATAATCCCTCTTGCAACAAGCGTAGGATGCTGAGGACCTAAATTCTTATCCATAATCCCTCTTGCAACAAGCGTAGGTTGCTGGGGACCTAAATTCTTATCCATAATCCCTCTTGCAACAAGCGTAGGATGCTGGGGATCTAAATTCTTAGCCATAATCCCTCTTGCAACAAGCATAGGTTGCTGGGGACCTAAATTCTTATCCATAATCCCTCTTGCAACAAGCGTAGGATGCTGGGGATCTAAATTCTTATCCATAATCCCTCTTGCAACAAGCATAGGTTGCTGGGGACCTAAATTCTTATCCATAATCCCTCTTGCAACAAGCGTAGGATGCTGGGGATCTAAATTCTTATCCATAATCCCTCTTGCAACAAGCGTAGGATGCTGGGGATCTAAATTCTTATCCATAATCCCTCTTGCAACAAGCGTAGGATGCTGGGGACCTATATTCTTATCCATAATCCCTCTTGCAACAAGCATAGGATGCTGGGGACCTATATTCTTATCCATAATCCCTCTTGCAACATGCATAGGTTGCTGGGAATCTAAATTCTTCTCCATAATCCCTCTTGCAACAAGCGTAGGTTTCTGGGGGCCTAAATTCTTATCCGTAAACCAAATGGGGGATAATTACAGTAAGACATACCAGGTTTTTCAGCAACTCACACCCAAGTCCTCCTGCTCCGATGACAAGGATCTTACAAATTTCTTGCATGAACTGCAGAGTCTGAAAGAAACAACTAAAATCATACAATACTGTCTTCACTGTATGATGCAAGCTGTCAGTCACTTCCAATATAATGCCATGAAAACAAATTTCACTATTTAAGGATTGACTGTGTATTTTTTTCGGTTCATTGAGGTATGAATCGAAAAACCAATGTGCAAACTGTATGAATCCGCGTAGCGGATTCTTACAAAAGTTTGCACATTGGTTTTTCGATTCATACCTCAATGAACCGAAAAGAATACACAGTCAATGCTTATAATTAAATTCGACAGCATAAAACATGTTTTATCTACAATAGTTTAACCAAAAACAGTTGTATATATCAAAACAGACAAAAATGACGAGATTGATAAACATTCCAGGTGTAGGAATACATACTGTGCGTGACATGAATCAGGTGATTGTTTAATTTATGCACATAAATTGACACGCCTACACTGTCAGTAGCCAATCAACGGAGAGCAGGATCAAAACAATGTTCATTGGACCTGTCAGTTAAGACAAGAGGCGAAAAGAACTGCAACAGTCAGACTGTAACGAACTGGAAGAAATATGTCCGGGAGAAGGCGGCTGTTTCAAATTACATGGTCAGTTACCGCCAGATTCAAACATTACTTCCCTGATTACGGTAAAACACAGTTGGAAAAATGCTAGTTAGAAAGGAAACCCGAAGACATGAAAGTTGAACCGAGGCGAGCAGAAAAAAAACAGGCGAGCGAGCCTGCACGTTTTCTGTTTCATTCATTCTCGGCCATCGGTTTCAAAGGGTAGTTTGGACAATGCATATGCATGAAAGTCGCTAAATGTCCTGTGCATGACGATACACGTGAGCAGAAAGGGAATTCCCTCGGCTTTAATATTGGGATTCCCCGACATTCCGAAGTAATAAAAGTAGTGCGCCTCGGTGGGCGTGGCTTAATTTTGTACATTCATTGGGAAATGAATGCAATAACACGTGACCAATTCAGCTAATCAGAATACAGGAATTTCAATGAACACAACAAAAATTTAATTATTTTGAAATAAACGTTGAATAAAATGATTGCAGTATATTGAGTACATTGCATCTCATAGAAATACAAATTGAGAACAAACAAAAATATATATTTACATTACAACGTCCAGTGGGACACAAAATAGTATGGCTGTTTGAATCATTAAAATGAATCAAAATTGTTGGTTACATGTTACCAATGTGACATTTCTATTGTTGTGCATGTTTTATATGATATAATATGTTTTAATTAGGTGTAGATGTTACCCAACACGGACATTTCCCCACACCTTATATCAAATTGGGTATAAATAACAAAAATTGTGGAACTGACATGTGGGGTGTTGACCATTTGGGGATGTCAGTGTGGGATAATGTCCGGATCCTGTTGTCCGCTCTAAGATCAGAGTGCCAGCGGTGGATTCTTTTCAATCTAACATTCAAATTCCCAAATACATGATCTATAATAGGCTGAATATTAATGAATATGTGCAATTATGTGCCACTAGTATAATGTTGGGAAATTCAGTGATCCATGCCACATGTTGCCAGCCTTGGACACACCCCAAAAAAAAAAAAAACAACAACAAAAAACTTAGTACTGAGAGACCCCTGGACTCAAACTTACAAAGACAAAAAGGTAAATCCAAGGGTATTCAGAACTTAATTCTAAATTGATCGATTATCATGAATTATGGATATTTTCCACATGGAATGGAATTTAGGGGTTTTCAAATCTCACTAGAAACATAACATGACACAACATGAGAAGGGAAGTCGGGGCTATAACAATAGCATGTCTCACTGCCAATAATTGAAAAACATCATCATAGTGGGAAAAGTCAATACCTCTGAACTTGGTTCAAAATCAGGGTGAGCAAAAGGTCCATCTCTTTCCAAGAATTTCTTGACATGGTTCCAGCGCCCAGGCCAATCACTTTCCATTTCTAAAGTTGCTGTTGGACCAAGGGTTAAATTTTAATGAATGGTATACAGGTTAACATTTTGATTGTATCACTGTATTGTGTCTGTGAAACATGTAAAGTAACACTGCAATACTGTACTTTGAATCTGTGTGAATTTTCAACAGAAATAAGAAACTACATTTTAGATTCATGAATGATGAATATTAAAGGGGCACTGATCTAATGCAATTCCCCGGGACTGGTTGTTGCCTTTGTTATTGTTTTTTCCCCAGTGAGTACCCGGATGTATAGCAGAAATCTAGACTAGTTCGCGACCTCTGCTGCACCATTCGTAAGCGCATTAGTCACTTTTATGGGTAGTAATAAGGGCGTATGGTCACATTGATCAACAAAATGAAATACAGTTTTCGAGATAATAAGGAAATGTAGGTATCTTTGCGGGTAGCATCGGTAATGGTGACGAAATTTTGATAAGTCACTTGCTTGGTAATTTTGCAATTTTCGTTTACACTATTTTGACTTGCAACACAAAGCAAATATTTCACCTGAGCATTGCTTTTTTTTATAGTGTGTATATTTTTTTACTGTCAAAATGTGTAACATTTTCAAATTTATTAAACGCCTAAATATTCAGTTATTTTACAAAGTGACTGAAAAACATTTCCATCGGTATTATTATGATAACGAATTCCAAACATTTTGATGTTTAATGTCATCACCAAGAGACTGAAAATGTTACGATGAAAAGTACATTTCTATGTTGTTTGGCTTCTAATCCAACATAATAATCTGTTGTGATGTTGTTAGGCCCTTTTGATCGTCTTAATCAATTTTAGTCAATCTGAAGAATTTCCCAACCAAGACGTAGAGGAACAAGAATGAATCGGTTCAATGCTACAGCGAATGAAGGAAAACAAAATGCAAATACCATAATTACAACCTACCAAATTTATGTGGATAAATTTTGGGCAGCTTCCTTTTTCGAGGAATGTATCCGTGAATATCCACACAAAGGAACAATATCACACTCGTCTGCAGCTGTACAAAGAAACTTATTCAATGTCACGTGTCTCTGTAACAATCAAATATTGTTAAAGATATATATCGTTTCGGGATATTATAACCCGTGTTCCTTTCTCAACTGATCACTTAGATTGTTTCAGGTGTTTCACATAGGTGTCAAGTCTCAAGGGTCGGCTGAGAAAGCCCACATGACAACTATTTTCATAACGTCCACGGTTCCTAAAAAATCCATTGAGTGATAGATAACAATGAGCAATCAATCAACGTATTATTAGTTAACCCTTTGAACAAAGTATGTTGTTTTTACATCGACACTTCACGCCATGATATGAGTGTATTCCCTTTGTTTTAGTAAACCTAGACATGTAAACACTCCCTTTTGACATATCCACTGTGCAAGATAACAGTGATTAATCAATCAACGTATTTTCTGTTAATCCTTTGATGACTAGGAACGATCCGTTGATTTACAAAAAAAGTAAATGAACAGATCATTCACCTCTTGCTGGGCTGCCACGTGCATATTACATAACACACATTTCACCTCACTTCAAACCTGGATTTAGATTGAATAATTACCCCAGACACAATAAATGCCAAATGGGAACCTTTGTCAGGTAATCTAAGTGGTGCTACCACTAATTGTACCTGTAATAAATTCATTAACTGAGCATCAAGTGTAGGGTTATACCAGAAAACGTGGATGACAACAAGGGAGTAGTAATCGTATTATCGACGCAATCCGAAATCCGAAAATGCTTTCACTGCATGGATACTTTTTTTTATTATCAAACTATAACCATCTGGGGTATTTCCAAATGACGACATACGATGAGCTCCGCCGTTCTTTTGTCTGTTTGTTTAGGCTGAAGAAATAAATTAACATGTGCCTTTTGTCGAAATCTTTATAGATCACAGTTAAACTAATCAGTGTTCAAAAATGCGTAAAACAAATATTGCCTCCAGCCTCCAAGTTTATTTAGCTGTCCTTGCAGACGGTAGCCCAGTCTCTGGTCACGCTCAGTTGCGTTGCGTATCATCCGGGTAATCACGGGGAAAAAACAATAACAAAGGCAACAACCAGTCCGGGGAATTGCGTTAGATCAGTGCCCCTTTAATAAGGAAAATTCTATGAGATACAATGACAAATTAATAAATTTTCAATATTATTATTACCATAAATATTGCATTATAGTGTAGGCCTATGCACTCATTAAGGGGGGCAAATTATTTTTCCTTGGAAAGTAAACACTGCCAAAATAAAAAATACAAAACACACTTATTTGTCATTGTGTTTGTATATTACAAGGAAATGAGAGCACATTTTGTAATTTATATTTTTTTTCACTTAAAATCTGCTTACTCATTTAAGTTAACACAATCGACACTAACATGCTGAATTGGACTTGAAAGAGTGGCTATAGGGTCTATTAGAAACCCCGAAGGAGTTCATTTCTACTCCTAATATTGACCCGATGGTCAATTCTCAAGACCCCTTTTCCACTTTTGTTCTTGACTCCGCAATTCATGTAACTGACTGCATCAGATACAGAATAGACGTTGACGATGAAAGTGAAAGTTCAGACATCTCTTCAAACACTTACAGTCACCTACGGACAATGATATCATTAGCCAAGAGGCGCGATGGAAACTGACAGTCAAGAAATGGCTGCGATGGTGTTCGACAGTCAAGACAAGACGCTACGATGCTACTGCTACATCAGGGTCATGTCATGTCTTACTGTCAGTCCCCATCGTGGCTCTAGGCTATGACATTATATGGTTTGAGAACTTATGACACAAAAAGAGTAAATCAGATGATTATGTTTATCATGAGAACAGTCATTAAGATACGCTGCACGTAAAATATACCAAAAGCACCTTTTCTCGATAGTTGTGCTTGAGGTCCAAACTATAACAGAGTTGTCGTTCTTTAACGGAAATCATTAAGTACTAGTCTACCTACGCTGTATAATATATGAGTAACTGTAAATAATTATTTTTTCCCCATCATGTGTGTTTAATATTTCAAAAGGTTATGCCAACCTTTATAGGATTTACAACATATTTTAAACTATTAAAGAAGAGACAAAAAATTACATGTAAGCTAAATACAAGATTAGGAAATTTGTCTATGTTATGAGTTTTAGGCATAATGTATTGGTCGCGATGTACCTTATAACATACGCAAATATATTTACCTATTGCCAAAACTAAAGTTTATCTCGATTTTCTTATAAATGAATATATTATATTCGTATGATTTAAATGGTCTCAGATGAACCTGGAATACCATAAAATTGTGACTGTAATTTATCTGCAATAGTAGAGGTATTTGTTAAGGACACAAGGGATTGTAAATTGACAACATGGGCGAACAAGTGCAGGTTGCCCCTCTCCGATCTTTGGGAGATTTTATCTTGGAATCGGCACGATTCCAGATCCCGAACATAAAAGATGCCGACAAATGGGCTAACAGGGTTTTGAACAATCTGCTTTATTATCAGACGAACTACTTCCTGACGGCGCTTATAGTTTTTCTACTCATTGGGTGAGAACCTATCATTTGTATATCTGACGTGATCAGTGACGTGGATAGCTGCGAAATCATAGCTATCTACGTAATTTCTCCGCTTTTAGTGTTCGACATCCACTGGTCGGTGATACATAGCTATGATCCATGCCTTTAATAAGTTCTACTAAATGTTGATGCTTATTTTGCACGGGTATTCCAAAGCTCAGTCAGAGTGCGAAACCGTCGAAATTTTTATACCCCTGCTGGTTGTAGTACGTTATGACGGCGTGTGTATTAGCTATGTATTTGCGACCCAAATATTATGATTAATGTACAGAAATGCAATATCTATGATGTGCATGCCATGCTATACATATAGGGACTTGCAACATAAATAACATTCAAACTGTTTTGTTTATGAATATGACCAGTGATAACATCCTGTGCCAAAGACTTTTTAGACTAGACCTACATTGCTCTTGGCTCATTTTCAGTAGAATTTAGTGTTATTAAATTACTATTATTTACTGAGCTTACACGATCCAACAGAACTGTACTAGACTTCGGTTTCAGACTAATGGCAAAATTCGCAGACTGGATAACATTTGTCAACTTGTTTAAGATTCTGTACATTTCCCTTATACACATGATACTCAAACAATGCTAATGAGAAGCATCTTAGTTTTGTGGCTAAAGACATTGATAAATGTCGACCAATACGCAGATGTAGGTCAGTTGATCTATTGCACATGTGGTCAACAAACAGGACCTGCACTTCTAAATCTATGTATGGTATTTGTCAAATATAGATAGATATGAACTGGTTAATATTTGCTGTAATTATATGAGAAATAACACATCACCGCAAACATTGTCAGCTCGACATTTCATCTTAATGCAAATAACCTGTCTGGTGATGTTTAGTGCACATGGTGATTTGCTACAGAACAATAATCTATTTTGTATTAGCTTATTAGCATCTCATTGTGAAATACTATCAGTCCCATCCTACTGATGCTCCAGTAAAAGAATAAAATTCCAGTTTAATGCTTTTTTGTTAACACCGAGCCTCATGATCACATTTTTTAATCATAAATCATAAATTGTTTTCCTGCCTGACTGAAACAAGTGATACGTGCCCAACGATTCATAATTGGTTGCTCGATAGGTAAATACTATTAATTGCTTTAACGGATTTCAAAACGGTGTGGCTTTGTTTGCATATAAATGTTACAAATATTTTATTGCAAGAGTCTAATTTATTTGTGTCGACTTTAGGTTTTGACAAACATTTGAGAAATGTAGTCCTAAACCAACTAATATATAAAAGAAAGGCCTTACAAAATTTCAACCTAAAATGAAGCTGTTCCCCCCCCCCAAAAAAAAATATATATATATATATATATATATATGTATGACATCACCGAGCGATCAGCATGGTCAGTTTCAACAAAATACAATTAAAAAAATATTCAAAACCCAATTACTTTCAATTAACTTGTGTACAGAAAGCATGCATTAAATGAAAAACTCAAATGTAAAAAACAGCTCACCTAAATACACAATGAAGCTTTTTCAACATGCGTACAAAGGAGCTAATTTCCGAAACACAATTACAAGCTAATTTACTTTCTGAGTCAAGCCTATATATTTAGAAAAGCTATATACATCTAAAACATTATATCATATTTTTTTTAAATCTTAAAATGTTAACTAATTTTTGGAAAAAAACAATAGAGTAATGAATAGATGAGTGAAAAAATATTGGTTACCCAATGAAAAATGTAATAACCCAATTGAAATAGAAACCCTAGAGTAAAAACTCAATTGCTCAAAAAGTTATCTGGAGCTCTGTATATGTTACATAGTAGCATATATATAACTCATTTACATAATTTTTTAAACTTAATTATATGTTACTGAAGATGGAACTGTAAGTTCCAACACTAAAATATATTTTTAAAAACTACATTAACTGTTTAAGGGGCGTTAGCAGGGCCCTTGAGGTTTGTTCCTATCAACATGGTTTTATGCAACGCAAAAATGAAGGGGAATGACGCATGAAAAAAGATGCTGCGTCCTGACGGATGCACCATAACATTCATTGTACCCAGAGCACAAGAGCAGTTATGGGTGTGACTGTCTGTTATTTCACCCATTAATCATGACCACTGTCCACATGATCAGTGATTCATTCCAGGCTCTAAAGTAATTATCTAAACGTACAGTACACTACACCATTTCTTTAATTTACAGGACCCAATTTACTGGGGGTCCTCTGAACTCCCAATTTTGTAAGTCGAGGAAAAACCCTGGTCCCCCGACTCGTGAAAATCCAGGGTAGAATAGGCCTTAAGGAACCCATGCTTGCCGACTTTGCTTGTCGTGAGAGGCGACCAACGGGATCGAGTGGTCAGGCTCGCTGACTTGGTTGATACATGTCATCGTATCTCAATTGCATGAATCGATGCTCATGGTGTCAATCACTGGATTGTCTTGTCCAGACTTGTCTATTTACAGACTGCCGTCATATAGCTGGAATATTGCTGAGTGTGGCAACAAACAAACAAACCAACTTACAGACTGTCATATAGCTGGAATATTGGAGTGTGGTGTTAAACAACAAACAAACAAACCCTGGTCCCCCGAAATCTTTAACATTAGGGCTATGACCATGGTAGCAAGGGCTCCTTGACTTACATACATTACCATTACTTACCGGATGTTTATATTTGTTTTTATACTGCAGAATCATCCATCCTGTAAAGATGGTGTTTGGGTTCGTGGCTATTGCTGTTGCGTTTGGAGGCTTTGTGTATTCCACCAACAATCAGTGGCGAACCAGGAAATTCAAGCGCGACCATCCCCTGCTCAGTGTGCTCATCATTCTGGCGGCCGGCTACCTCGTCGTCTACATGCTCGGCGCTGTCATCGTCTTCATGTTCGGAATAGCTTTCCCCTTGCTATGTGAGTAGTCAGCATATAATCACTGATGATAACTTGTAAATCAAGTGTGTGTGTGTGTGTGTGTCTGTGTCTGTCTGTGTGTGTCTGTGTGTTCTAGAGAACTATGAATGTCGTATCAGCATGATCCACTCATCCTCATGAGGATTCCGTGTTAGAAAAGGTCCCCAGCAACCTATACTGGTCGTAAGAGATGACCAAATCAGGTTTAGAAATTAACACTAGCCCGGGGCGAGCACAGATTCCTGTGAGCTAGTACAAATTTCCGAATTTATCCATTGTTAAACATTACAAGGGCAGATTTTTTCCCCGGGCAAGTGAAATGTTTGAGTTTAGTTCTAACCCTGCAAATGGATCGGGGTGGTCAGCCTCAGTGACTTGGTTTATTGTGTGTCATTGTACCCCTGCGTCAAGGATCATTGCTCACAATACCAATCACTGGATTATGACTGATTATTTCGAACCCGCCACCATGTTTCTGAGTGTGGGGTAAAACAAACAGACAAGGATAGAAACATATATATTTGTAACTCATGCGACTCATAAAAATGTTAAGTTGCCTTTTGGAATTAAAGTGTGCGCACTAGATGAATAATTGTGATCCATCATGAAACTCCGTGAATGTCATGTCACCAAGGCACCCGTGAAGATTCCGGGGTAGAATAGGTCTTCAGCAACCCATCCATGCCGTAAAAGGTGACTATGCTTGTCGTAAGAGGCGACCAACGGGATCGGCTGATCAGGCTTGCTGACTTTGTTGATGAATGTCATCGATCCCAATTGCGTGGATCGATGCTCATGATATTAATCACTGGATTGTCTGGTCCAGACTCGATTATTTACAGACCGCCGTCATATAGCTGGAATATTGCTGAGTGCTGCGTTAAACAACAAACAAACAAACAAATCATGTCACCAAGGCTGGAGTTGTAACTTTCCTCTCATGTTCATTATTTTACACATGTTTGTCATGTTTATTTGTGGTTGTCACAATATGCACACGGTATTGTTGTTAAAGAAATGGCTTTACCAAGTGTGCCCTTTGGGCACCAGATTGGAGGAAGTTATTTTGACCATGCCACTACAATTATAACTGTGCCACCAGCATTTCATTAAAATGAATTTGAATCCTGCACACAAGGGTTGCTTATTAGAGCAGGGCTTTTAATATAGTGAATACGGTACACATGGTACACGCAATGCAAACCTGTCACATAGAAATTGTATCCATGGTATGTGGAAAATCAACCAATTTTGAAGACATGATGTGGTAAAAGTGAAGTACTTATTCATGGTTAAATTTAGTTGATGTGTGCATGTTGTGACTTCTGTTTAAAAGTTTTAGGACAAAATGATAAAAGACAAATGATGATTACGTTTCCTCAAACGATATTTTATCAGTGGATCAGTAAAACATTCCTCAAAACATTCTGCGTTTTGCTATTAATTGTCAACAGACCCGTGAAAATCCGGGGTAGAATAGGTCTTCAGCAACCCATGCTTCCCGTAAAAGGCTACTATGCTTGTCGTAAGAGGCGACTAACGGGATCAGGTGGTCAGGCTCGCTGACTTGGTTGATACATGTCATCGATCACAATTGCGTGGATCGATGCTCACGATGTCAATCACTGGATTGTCTGGTCCAGACTCAATTATTTACAGACCGCCGTCATATAGCTCGAATATTGCTGAGTGCTGCGTTAAACAACAAACAAACAAAACAAAAATTGTCAACAATTCACGATATGGTAATATCCTCCACATTTCAGTGATAATCCTTCATGCATCTTTAAGAATGAGGAGCTTTAAAAACAAAATCACCAACAAGATGGAGTTTGTTGGCTTGAAACGGACTCCGATGGGTATCATCTTGGAGGGACTTGGACAGGAACAGGAAGCAGGCTCCTAGACTGTCAGCATCCATGGATACATTGTCGCTGGCGTTGTAACAAGTTGTCAAGAAATATTTTGTACTTCAAATATTTATGGTCATACGTCTTACGCTTTTGAAGTCTACTTTTTGCAAGAAAGCTTACAAATATAAGCTTACGTTATGAATGAAAGGTTCTATATTTGAATCTGTTTCTAAAGTTATTATGATGTAATTATGAGTGACAGGTTGTTATGCTGGAATTATTGTGTATGGTTGACACATATTTCATTCAGTCTACATAATTGAAGAAAAAAACAACTTATTTTTTTATGTAAAATTGTTAGATTTATTAACCTTTTCTCTGTGATGTAACTGGTGCTCTTGCTAACAGGCTGTAAATCAACTGTCATAGTCTGCTTCATGCAGATATCAGGATCAGTAATAATCAGTAATAATGTTGTATAATAATGATAGTGTAATAATGGAAATGTAATGATGATAATGTAATACCGTATTCGACGTAATAAGCACCCTGCTCTAATAAGTGCCCACAGCGATATTTACAAATATATTGGCTAGTGAACAATCCCAATTAGCACCCCTTCCGATTGATCAATGTACACTTATTTATTTGTGCATAATACACACTAGTGTGTTATATGCCCCCTTAATAATGGGCAATTAAACTCTGGAAAATATATCTGTCGGGTATGATAAGCACAGACTTTTCTTTGATATCATTTCAGGGTGTGAGCATAAACCAAAAAAATTGCGATCTTTCAACTTTCTCACCATATATTCTAATAAGAGCCCCCTATTTCTAATTTTGAGAGCGTCCTGGGCACTTATTACGTCGAATACGGTAATGGTTATGTAATATGGTTATGTAATATTGGTGCTCTTTGAAGTCATTCATTTAGAGCACATTACGATATTTGTAAATAATTAAGGGTAGGCCCTTACTAATGACTACCTACTTCATTTGGTTTAATTAGGTTAAGCTGTATTTTTCCCTGGTTAATCTTGGTTTTTTTAATAACTTGGTTTTCATTTAGCTCACCCAAAATAACAAAAATGTGGAATATAAAAAAAAATGAATTGATCATTAATTAAGTCATGTGAAAAAGTTGGTCAATGCTAAAGGGACGTAACCTTTTCATTTATCATTAAAAAGATTGTTTTAATTTTTTTTATAGATTTTTAAAAATGTTTTAGGATGTTGGCAAAAGGTTCCGCAGACCAAGTGAGTAAGATAGAGGCTGAACAAAGTGTGCCATGACCATAGTTTATTGCTTCTACTGTTTGGCACGGGATGGTCATTCTTATGGATCATCCTATCCAAACATACCAACATTCTCATCATATACATGGCAAGTATAGCATGTACCTTACAATTGAGCTGGAGTGTTGGAAGCAACAGATGATAACAATAACAGGCTCTTATGTTGTTTTTGTTCAGCCTTATCAAAACATTGCTGTGTCATTGATAATCTCCATCTTTGACAGTCTGGATGATGGTTCAGGTTTTATCATCGGACTTACAGAGTATTGTAATGACATGCTTTCTGCAGTATAACAGTACAGTTTGGCGAATATTTGAATCATGTATTACAAGTTTATCCTTGGGAACGCATGGATTGTGTTAAGAAGATGCGAAATGAGTTTATGTGGATTTATTAGATCTCTGTTGTCAAAACATAGTGATCACTTGATAAAAAAACAGGGTGAAAAGATTAAAAAAAAAAAACCCAGACAGAGTTCAAACCTTTTGACAGTAGTCTAGTTTGACAAATGGCAGTCAGTTGTGATACTGATGATGATGGTGGTGATGATGATGATGATGATGATGATGATGATGATGAACGAGGGCTTCCACTGGACCTGATTTGTCACTCAGGAATGGTTTCATTATTTGTGCCCTACAGTCATCCTTGTTTGATACAAGTAAATAGTTGTCCACCTCTGTGATAGTTATATAACATTGGCATAATGATACAGGTGATAACTTTTGAAATGTTTGTTTTTAAGATGACTAATTAACCTATCGCCGGAGCAGAATTCAGCACACATGAAAACAATTGGGAGAAATAGTCATATAAACATCTGATGTTTTTGTTTTAATATATATATCATGATATATGACACAGTACGTTTCCGAAGATACTGATGTTTTATGCCATGAGTGACCATATTGAATGTATTTTGCACATCTTCATCTGAATGAATAATTTATGTATATATTTTTTAAATGTCAAGATAATCTTTCTCTCATTTTCTGTGTTTTCTGATTGTTCGATTTGTTTAGATCTATAAGATGAGGACTATATTCTACTGTCCAGAAAATATCTTGGATATAACCGCATTGTCGTTTGCATGCTGAGGTTTGACCTGAAACATCTAAGTGTCACATCAAATAAAGTTTTGAACAGGTTTGAAGTTGTCAAACAATATGGCGGTTTGTGCATCACCTTGGACTTCCTGATTGGTCCATTATGTAGTTTGATTGGCAGGTGGCGATAGGTTAATTGTATAATTTACTATTTGTGAGATTGTTTTGTTCGTAAGATGTTAGAATGTGTTTCACTGACACCAGAACAAAAGGACTAATTCTACTTATTTTAATTCTGAAAGTAACAGTTGAAAGATACAAAGGATGATATGTGTTAATGAGATGATTGTATTGACATCAATAACAGCACTTTTTGCCTACAAATATATGAAGATTGTGGTTCGTATTACTCAAATAGCTGTGAAAAGATATTGTTTTATTTTAGCCTTAAGATTTGTCCATCTGGTGAGCCTTATTTTGTCCTGTTTTGCCTGGTATATTACTAAACAAATACTTACTGAAAAGGATGAGTTGACGAAGAACAAATATCTAATTAGTTTGCTATGGCATTACCATGGTAACTACGAATGGTCACTGACATGTAATTGATCTAAAAATGATTCTAGGATTGAACCTGGTGAAGTTACATCACGAATCTGTCATTGTTTTGGGGGAAATACGTTGTGGTTTAAAGGAAACATTTGTTCTAGTTATCCCACACTTGAAATTAATAAAGTGAGTGTTAATGTGATAGAAATGCTTATAGAGAGTAACTCTTCTGTTCCAACAAGATAATGTATTTATAATAGTGGGGATCCGTAGATATAGAAATCAGTGCAATATATAAATGCAATATCATGAAAGTCTGATCTTTTCCATTTATATGATACATCTCTACATGAAGACCTTACAAGCCCCCAATAGGAGGTCAGGGGTTAGGTGAATTTTCAAATCAGCTTTCAGAGTTGACGCTTCTGAATTCTTGGTAGGGAGCAAAGCAGTCTGATCCGACCATTTGATTTCTGTATCTCGAAAATGAAGTTCATCGGCCAGATCCAAATGTAAATGAAAAGGGCATTTCCATTCTATGTTTGTATGTGGTGAGGAAATTAAGCCAAATTGTTTTGGAAAGCTGTCATGTTGATTTACCAAAGGTACCAACCTATAATTAGAATGAACGGTCAGAGTCTGCTCCGAGTTTACCTGATGCAACCTTCTGTGGTGGTGTCCTCAGATCTTTATGCATAGAGGCATCACATCGAAGTGCCAGATCTTATTTCATTGAGAATGTATGTCAATGTGATGATGGGTCCCTATTGTGTTCAGGTGATACAATGTTGGCATTACTGCTACCTGACGTACAAAATAGCGTGTAGACTGCTAGAGTCTCAATATGTAATATCAGGACTCAGGATGTCACACAGGCAATTTCCTAGTTTATTTTAACCTTTTTAATAATAATACCTAACACTTGTTATGTGATTCAGCTTTCCACAGCTAAGTTCATTCAATAAAATTATGATTGTTAAAAATCTATGCTTGACAGCTTCATCTTTATTGGATTACAAATTTTTTTATAGAAAACCACAAGAAACTACACAATGTAATGATAGTGTGAAAATATCATCCTGTATTTAACAGTACAAGCATTTAATTTTCCCATTTCATCAGGCCCTCCCAAACATCTTCATCATGTTCATGCTAAATTCGATAACAAGCTATTGAGCTTCATAATGTTTTGTATTGGTGGTTTTTTTACAGACAAGCAACTTACGTATCAAGAAACTGTAAATCATAACATTAAAGTGTGGTGTTGCGCATCTACTTGAATCAGCAGCGGAAACTGATGCCACTTATCATGGTACTGTATTTCACCAAAGTCAGATTAGTCTGTCTCCCAGACCCTAGAGGAAAAGTTTAAAAAGGAGTCCAACTCAAGTCTAGAATGAATTTGTAAGTCTTGATTGCCTCAGCTCTATGGCGTCCTGAATTAAAGGATTGTTCTGGGCTCCATTTTGATTCTTTTTTATTTTATTTTGGAGGTATGTTTTTAGATAAGGCAGATGTACATTATAACAGATTTCCAAGGAATAGCTCTTATTAATAACTACCACCTGCACTTTATTTTAACTAAGGTTAGTTTCTGATTACAGACAGTAAGGAAATACATGTGTGTTATCTTGAGAATGGACACCTTGAGATTTGGTAGTCACTACATTAGGACCCTTAATAGAACAGGATTTTACTATGTTTAGTGCGAGATATTAACAAAGGGAAACAAACATTCCACATTTCTGTAAGTTCTTATTAAAACGGTAACTACTTAGTGTTATGCCAATCTGTTTGGACGAGAAGATAGGTGACAGATATTTGGCCTGTGAATATATAAATACTGTTCAATTAATTCGTCCACAGAAAGGAATAGAAGTAACCTTATCTCTATAAAGACACACCTTATTAGTCCGGACACTGTTAATCCGGAAACTTTGCGGTCCAGACGATTACTAATGGAAACATTTATATATGTGATATTACTTTGCACAAATGATTCACTTTTGTGTAAATGTGTTAATCTAGACAATATCAAAGGGAACAGCACTGTCCAGATAAACAGGGTTTCACTGTATGCATCTACTCTGACTTACTAAGTTATATTGTGAATTATCACCAACTGTTCCTACAACCCACTGCCTACACAATGTAACTTTTAATTACAGATTTGGTTTATTAAGTCATCAACATTATTTATTCCACGTTTCAAAATTGGACCTGTTTAATTTGTGGTTAGTATGATCAAAGAATTGAAAAATAGTTGACCTGATGAGAACTTTTATCAGGATAAGTATTGTGAAGCTGGCATTAATTGAAGAATATGTGTATGGTTTCACCCTAGATTGTCTACAGTTTCAATATAGATAAACAGGGTTATGTGAGCTCAAGACAGTATTACACTTTGTTTCATGGAGAGTTGAACATTTTCTGTTAGCGGGGCATGTGACATAAAAAATTGTAGAGCATGTGCTTATTTTTTTGTGACAAATGAAATAGTGCTGAGAGTGATGCTATGTTTTGCTGCATATATCATCATCATTTGGTTTTGAT